AGACTTTCTACCTTAAGCGTATATTAGAGTAATTCGGACACATTTCCAGGAAGGAGGGAGGCAATTTAGAGCGTCAAGTGATTTCTGTAAAGTGGAAGGAAGGAGATTACGCGGCCGCAGGCCAATGCGTTGACCGACCAGATTCGCTCCCGCTTGAGTCCACGGTACATGAGGCTCTAGAGGTAACAGGTCTTTTCCGAAAACAGGTCTTTTTGGCGTACCACCATTCAGAAAATCATTGATGGGGGTTGTCAGGACCCTCGAGATTTAGGAATACCACGCGAGGAGGATAGAACCATCCATACGTGCTAAGCCACACAAAATCAATTTTGATTTATTAATATTATTATTATATTCAAGAAAGACTTATCACTATTTGAGATAATAAAATGAACAAAGCTGTGTGGCATTAATCGCGCTTCGGTTCTGTCTGTTGATTTCCAAAGGTTGACATCGCATCTTTTTTAGATGTTACATGAAGCAAAATTCGGTTTGGACTAAGTCTCACTCGGCTCATATGTAGTACGTGCCTAATTATAGATACGGATACTATGCGGATATTCTTGCGGTTATTAAAGTTTACAGTTGCACTTCGTTACAGTGTATCTCAGTTCATACATTTTCTTATTATATAAGTGTGTAATTTTATTTATACATTAAGGTTGCAGTTATATTACAATATAATTTTTAATAAAGCTATATTGACATTTGACTTTTTCTTTTCTCTTATAATAATAATAATAAAACACTTAATTGAAGAAACACATAAAATACAAATATAGTAATACAAATAATTATTTACATAAAAGAGATAGTGTAAGGGCGGCCTTATCGCCTGTGGCGATTTCTTCCAGGCAACCTTAAAGAAAAGGAAAACAAAATAACAATAAATGAGTAAAAGTTAACGAGAATGAGCGAGAAAATGTAATCAATTATTCATTACGGTGAAATCAAATACTAACACAACAGAAAACGTTAACACACTAAAAATTAAAAACTTAATTTTAAATTTTGATCTTACAAGATGCAACTTTATAAATAATAAAAGTATAAGCCAATAACATCAAGACTGAATAATACTTTCAACAATATATTGTTTGACTTTGGCCTTAAAGGAGGAACACCTTGTGAGAGCCTAATCGCGGGTGGCGGCTTATTCCATAGGCCGACTGCCTGTACAGAAAAAGAAGAGTCAAAGCATTAAGGTAGGTGAGGTAGCCATAGAAAGGAGACGGTTGTAGGAGGAACGAAGGTACAACATAATGATTGTTGTGTTATAAATGAGTACATTCTTTCACCTTAAATGTATCGATCTTTTTTTTTTTTACATCCAAAACGTCGGGCTATAGTTAAAATGAATTAAACCGTTAAATGTCATTTATTCCAATCTGCACTACTCTTCTAAGCTACAGACAATGTATATTATTTTGATGTTGCATGAAGGAGGTTTTTTGAATCCAAATCGATCAAATCATTTGTCTGTTGTTCTCCATACTTTTTTTTGCAATATATAGAAATCAATCGTAAATAACATTTTAGGCTGGTCAGTAGAAGTAAATAAATGATAACCTATATTATAAATTGCTTTGTGATATCAACAATAAATATGACTCAAAGTATGCCGCATACCGAGTTTGATTCCTCAATAAACTAAATGTATTTATCTTTTGAATAGACACATGAGTACATATTATATTGTTATTTTCGTAACATTTTATTTTATCTGCATGCAATATAACTTTTATGAACTCTTATACATGAACAACAGTCATTTTGTAATTTAATGATTTTAATATTAACAAAAACGTATAAGCTTAATATCAATAAAAATACCGCAACTATTAAAATTGCTTACCATAAATAAAGTTCGCGTTTGAACTCGTTTAAAATAGTTTTACAAAATAAAAACCAATATCTAAATAGAACACTTTAACGGTTCAAAACGCGATGTTAGTTAAACTTATTTGAAAATTCGTGACAATTAAGTTTAATACTTTAACGGTTTAAAACGCGATATATAAAAACCACGGACATAGTTAAACCACGGAGGCAGCAGCCGTGGTCACTTGGTTCGAAACTTCGGGCCGTAGTTGAAAATAATTTTCAAACAAGTTTAACTAAAATATTTCGCGTTTTAAACCGTTAAAGTGTTTTATTTAAATGTGTACTACTCACAAATATATATCAATGTCTACTAATATATTATAGTCAATAGCGTATATTTTTCCTTTGTTTATCTATGACGTCATTATTCACTTGCAATGAAAATTATAATAAGCTGTCGACTAGAATTGTAAATAAGCTCAGTGACTGAGACAAACGAGAGAGCTTAATTTTACAGTCAGAGCAAAAATGGCAAATTATCACAGTTTAATTGCTTTCAGCTTTATAATTAGCGTATGTCATTTAGATTATGGTCTAGTTTGTGTAATAGTAGCAACGTATGGTTAATAACCAAATGGACGTTTTTCTAATCATTTAATAATTCTGCCCTATGATTGTCTATCTTCATCGTTCATGAAAAAAAAACACTTCGAACGGTTTAAAACGCGAAATGTATTAGTTAACTTATTTACAATTTATATATATAGGGACTCTCGTGGTTAAAATAATTTGACTCATATATTTCGCCTTTTAAACGATTAATAGTGTTTTATTTAACTATACTTATGTATACTTCACGCATGTAAACACTGAATTAAAATATTAGCGTCTATTAGCAAAAACTATTGTTTTTTTTAAATTCACACAAGTTGAAAAGTCGAGACAGGTCTAAACAGCATTTAAATAAAGGGCTCCTTTATCTAATGGGTCATGGATTCGATACCCACCGGGTTCAACATGTTTGAAATCAATTTATATTTTCTCTGAAACATGGTGGACTTCCCTTCCAGAACTGGGAATCAAAATATTAAATTATATAAGTATAGATAATAAAAATACACAGTGACTGATATATATTTTACGGAATCGCCAGAGAACAACACTATATGTAATTGGACGAGGAAGTTCACAGATCTAATGGAGATATTCCTGGTTCATCCAGAAATAATAAGGGTTATTTAATACGGCCTTACAAGTTCATTGGCAACGAGGCGTAACCTTTCAACGAATTCCGCGTTGTACACCGTTTAAGAACCTACCTGTAACCAACTAGTACCATAGAGCAGCGATTATCCGCAATAATTCAGTTCCTCGCATAATGAGATAATTCATATTCAATCTATACTAATATATAAAGCTGAAGATTTTGTTTGTTTGAACGCGCTAATCTTGGGAACTACTGGTTTGAATAAAAAAGACATTTATGTGGTGTTGGCATTTATCGAGGAAGGCTACACACTACACACATCGCGCTGCAACTAAGAGGAACGATAAAAAATACGTACGCTGTGAAAACGGTGCAGGATACCCAATAAATGTGTATGAAAGATTTATTCCTCTTTAAATGATTAAAAAAATGTCCGCGACAGAATATGTCTATCGTTTAAGATTAACAAGCAAGAACGACGGGACGCGAACGACGTCGTAAGTAACGGCTTGAATTTATAGAGTAAAACAGGAGGTTTCAGCGCAATTTGTTTAGATGTTATATGGCTTGGTGTGAAATAACCAAGTGAAGTGAAGAGTTCGGACTCCCGAATCGCTCCAAAGTAAAGGCTCCAATTATTTCCACTATCGTTTATTTCTGTATTCACTTATTAAGATTGAAACAATAATTAATTTGTGTCGAATCGGTTTTTCGTTGGAATCACACCGGAATAACATATTATAACTCATTGCCGAATGAATTCTTGCATCAATCATCTTAACGGCCTTAGCCGATAATCGCCGAATTTTATTTCAAGCTATGAGAAGAGCGATTTTATAGCTGAGGTCAAAATTTTAACTATTTATTTATTGACTTATACTTACTCGTAGCTACGATAATGTAATGCAACAGTAAGTAACATTAAAGTTAAAAACTCGGTAGACAATCACATTTATACACAGTCCATATTTTTATACAGTTTATATACAGTAGCATAGCATCTTAGGTATAAATCATTTTTTTAATACGACAAAAGAATATTAAAATTCATATCAGGGAACACATGTAAATTATGGCAAAAAAAACTAACGTTTAACAGTTCTATAAAATAAGTTAAAAGATAAACTAAAAACAAAGGAGAGCGCTTGTAAAAATGGGAGAAAGTACTGGACTTAAGCATAACCACCTATGATAAAATTGGTTAAGTGCCGGTTTTCATTGCATTGGAGGAAAAAAGTGACTATGAACAAACCAAATAAAAGTCTAAATATAAGTCTATATATATATAATAAATACAGTTCCTTCTTGACGCTAGCAAGGCAGTACGTTAAGCTTGAACTCCTAACTTCTCGATTCTTATACATATACAATATTCCCATCCATTTTATTACTTACGGGTGTATAATTTATATTTTTAGTGCCACAATAAAAACTGCCGTTTTACTGGCCCCATCTAATATTTCGACCTTACTCAAATATTATTGTTAATTCGAGTCAATGTCGCATATGGCTGAGAACAATATTTGTAACAGGTCTGACTCATCCAAACAATGCCATAATTACATATTTTTTAAGGAAATTGAATTGGAATTTCAAATTAATAAATATAATGTAACATAGTTATTAATATTATTAACTTGACAAGCACTTAGTAGATCGTGCAATTTAGCCCATAAGACAAAGACAAATATGGCGGCGTATTTTTTTTGAAGCCACTTTTATCAATTTGAAACACGCAAATATATTACAAAAATGATTTCAAAGTGATTTATGTTACTTATTTTTATGATAATTATGTATTATTATTTTATAATATTTCGTTTACTATGTAACTGGCAATTAGTTACTCGTTGATCAAGTACAAAAATAGTTAAAAAGGTATAGACACAAATTAAAACTTGTCATCAGACAGGCCAAAGTAAAACGACAAATAAAGGCTAGAATAAATACATTTATTACAACAATTACTTTAATCATTCTTCTTTTTAAATGCTGGACTAAAACAGTACATTATACAACCTTTAACAACTTTGCATAAATAAATTAACATGAATATTAATAGAAATAGAATTGTTCCGAGCGTAATATAGACATCTGTTAGTCCACTCTGAAACCAAGCGGTACGTTTTGAAGGTAAAGATGGAGGGGCGCTCCGATGACGTGCTACGTACTCGGTCCAATAGATGGCGCTGTCCAAAACATTCATAGGTCTGTCATTCCACAGATCTTGAATATTTCGAGCGCTTTTTTGTAATCTGTGAAGAATTTTTTTTATTAGAATTTTGTAGTAAGTAAACTTTGCAATTGTGGAAAAGAGATAAATTAGCTTTTAATAAGGTCTGCTACAGCCTTAAGAGCCAGTCTACTATATAAAAATCTTATGACACAATGTTAGTTAACATACTACATACAGAACGGCTCAACCGATTTTTATGAAATATGCATATTAAGTAGGTCTCAGACTCGGTTACTAACAATTTGTAAATCCCCAAAGGTATAGGGGTTAGCTACCCCTAACATTTTTTCAGTAGAGTAGTGATATGTCAGAAACCGGTCTTACCGGATATTGCCTAGAAATCATATATATCGCAAAACAATATTTGCCGGGTCAGTGTATTATTATAACAATAACTTACTTCGGCGAAGTCAAGTAATTGATAGCTTCTAATAAACGATCAGATGTTATTTCATTGAAAAATAATGTGGTCCCGAGGCCGGACTGTTCGACAACTGCGGCGTTGGAGTATTGGTCTCCGAAAAACGGTATCGCTAGCAACGGCTTTCCGCAATGAGCTGCTTCCGACAGACTTAACATCCCACCATGTGATACAAAAGCTAACACTTTCGGGTGACCTGCAAAATAATTATTTCAAGTTAAATGTTGTCTTTACTTTAAGCAAGTAGTACAAATAAAAAAATTGATTTAAAATTGAAAAAATTACAACACGGGCAGGACTTGAACCCGCACCCACAGCGTTCCGTGCTGTTGCTCAAACCAATTGAGCTACCGCATCGCAATTAGCTCAATTGGTTAGAGCATTTTCAATTTATATAATGCCATCATGTGAAAAATGTTAGTTTTGAAAAATTTTACAAATCTGATTAACGCATACTTTTAACGGTTTAAAACTTGAAACTTCTTTTTAAATACGACTTTAGTAGTCACGGTCACGGAGATAATATATTTCGCGTTTTTTACCGCTGTTTTTTAAGTGTTAAATATGAAAGTTCTATCACAATCTCCTTTAGCTCAATGTCTGATAGCAAGAAGAACAAAACAATATCAATGACCCTTCAATCACCTACTCGTTTTATTAATACATAGTTGGTTCGTTTGATTACTTTTTGATTAGGAAGGAAAATTATGCATGCTACGCTAGTATAGCGTGCAGTAGTACTGTAGATTACGGAAAAAGTGCACATAAATAAAACTACTTAAGACTCAATTGGTTAAAGCGGCAGCACGTATCTATGATGCTGGTTCTAGCCCGGTCCGTGTCGATTTTTTTAAATTTAAATAGATTTTTAATTTATACTTTAAGTTAGTTGAAACCTTTTATATATTTATATCAACAAATGTTACGTCCCAAAGTCGACTTTCAGACGAATTCGATTAATTGCGTATAGAAGCAGCTGGCTGTAAAAGTGTGATGCTTAGGTCAAGATAAATTGTGATTCATTACCCTTTACGTAGGTATTAAAGAAAAAAACTATTTGCAATAGTTTACTTGGAAAAAAAACAATGATTTAATACCTACTAATTGAATTACGATGTTTTCTAAGACTAGTCTAGTCTAGGGGATTTCAGGAAACATTTCAGAAAGAGTACAGCTTAACTTACACAAAACATCACGCTGTGGGAACCAAGGGCGCATCAAAATATTCTCATTCTTTATAATTTCAGGGCTTTCTATTTTCCATAACACCTTCTGTGGTATTCTGCTTAAGGCGGATGCAAATTCTTGGATTTTGGTTGCGCTCATGGTGCTTGCATTCAAATTTGAACCGAAGCTTACGTAAATCGCTCCTTGTGTAGCAGATGACAAAAATATATCTAAGTCCTGTAAGTATATAAGTAATTATACTATGTACATAAATATCTACTAGATATATCGTCTATAGTTTACGCGAGTAGTACACATTTAAATAAAACACTTTAACGGCTTTGGCAGCCGTGGCCACGGCTGCTGCAAAGCATCCGAAACGTCGGGCCGAAGTTAAAAATCATTTTCAAATAAGTTTAACTAATATATCGCGTTTTAAACCGTTAAAGTGTTTTATTTAAATAGATATATCGTTTCAAATAAACAACATCATAGAATAATGTGGCATGAAATGCATTAAACCGTTAAAAAAGTTTTATTTAAGTTGGAATTTTAATTTAGGCATATAATTTAATTTTTTGCTTAGGTGATTAGTATATTGATATTATGCTAAACTATAACCTACGCATAACATACCTGCGGCAACTTCTTCCCCTCTTTTATATGTATTCCACCAATTTCTATCACCTGCGGCGGCAAAAGCCGAGCTCCTGTCACTGAGAAGTGTTGATAAACAAACATCATCTTCATTTGTTCTCTCACAGCCTTCCTAACATCAACTTGAATACCGGGCTTATGCTTCTTAAATACGTCATTAATTATTTGTATTATCTGAGGTTCCAGGACATAATTCATGTATATATCAGTAAGGTAACTCTCTATCTTGTGGTACAGTGATGGGTTTCTACCACCCGAAGAAAAGTAATAAGCGTCGGAGGAGAAATCGAATGGGATTCCAAGCCTGGAGTACGCCCAGGGCAGGAGCGTGTGCGACGTGATTCCAATAATAGGAGCATCGTACAATGCAGCAGCGAAAGCCGCGCCGCATTCGCTCATGAACTCCTCAACGAAGATAACATCGAACTTCTGCTTCTTATCTAAAAAGCTCGCCACGTCCTTATTGATCAGTAAATTCTCGCAGTCCTGTTCTGTATTTTGTGGGCCTATCAGAAAATGCCTGTAAGTATTCACGAGACGCATATGAAACGAGTTCATGCCTTCATACGCCGACATAGCTGGCATTCTGATAGGAGGATACCTATCGCGAGATAGATCGACGTACGTCATGTTAGCTGGTGGGTTTTCCTCGACGTAGTTATTCATAACGGTGACCGAGTGACCCCTGGTCGCCAATTCTCGGAAGAACCTATCGAATGCCATATAATGACTTTTAAGAGGTAATGTTACGATCGCCAGAACGTTAAACGCGCAGACATTGTTGAATGAAATCAATGTTAAATAAATTGCGTAAGCTCTGAGTAGATTCATTATTTTGAATCCGGTTTAAGTCAACGAACTGAATCAGTGATCGCGTGTCGGCCTCGCTCGGAAGACCATGATCAACTGACGGCGAGACGTGTTTTATAAATAATGTCCTACTCTATCTGCATATAAATAATTAGACGTTCCATAAATAATGATAACTACTGATTATTAATTATTATTATTAAAACGTTGTATTTCATGAGTACAATCCTAAGCTTTCACAAGATTCTATTAAATGAGCAAAAATAATTTTTATACATCTTGTTATGGAAACCATTAAGTATAATGAATGTTGTTGTATTGTTAAATTATATTACTTTAAGAAATTTAGTTTATTTTCAATCAAATAATACACAACGTAATGACTTAATACATAAACGCAAAAAATAAACCTTGGACCGACGTACCTAGGAAACACGACGACGTCAGACGTGAACAAAAACCAACTGTGCCCTGACAGGGTATTAATTTCAACAGTTTTTTAGTAAAATCTTATTACACGGAATCTTAATTATTTACAACTCTATTACCCAATCTATACAAGAACAATTTTAAATTAACAATTATCTGGTTTGTCAAAAAAGACTGTACTATATTTTAAGTAAAGTTGTTTTGTTTCAGTAATTTGCTTCTTTGTCCTTACATACTGTGCTTGACCGTAATTTATTTGATATTTTTAATTCTCAAGTAGTAGTAGTATCAATAGTATTTACTATATTATGAGAAGCATATAAAAAAACAAAAAGCAAAAATTTTTCCTACAATTTTTTTCAAAATTTAATATACGGGGATCGAAATTTAGTAGCATAAAATCGCTTATGTCTTATTCTTTTATTATAATACAATAATACTATTTCTCTTATTTTGGAGATAGACAGTGCTAAGATTAAACCATTGTAGAACAACGCCACCAAGTAAACAAAGAGAGACATTTCCCCATTCTACTGTGACAGTTCTAAATTTGTTAATTACTTTATCTCGTCCCATTTATGATTACTAATATGTGGGCTGATAGAAATATTTGTATAACAACATTCATAATTCTTGTAATAGGGTGACCATGTATCACGCATATATTAAGGCCAACAAAGGATAAACTACAATTCCTATATGTATGTTTTTTGTGAATAAACTTAGCTACGATTGGTAGAACCTTGTGCTATCATGTCTTCAAAAAGAATTACCCAGAATTTTGTGTCATTTATTTTACCCGTGAACATAGTGTCAAATCGTGTTTCTTTCTCGTTTCATTTGAATTGAAATTATTTGTTAGTTATAATATTGCTATTGTAATGCTGGTCAAACAGCAAATTTACAATTGCAGATTATTATTACAGACAATGTTATTCATTCTAATTAAAATTAACTTAACATATGAGAGAAAGTAAAATATAAGAAAACAGTTAACTAGATAGTACATATTCATTTTATTGAATATATTTACACAATATAAATACACAAAACATTTAATATTGATCTAATGACAATTATCATTAGAATAAACGCTTTTGAACAATATAAAGACACACAGCTAAGAAAAATAGAAAAGCGAAGAACATTATTACTTTATCTGTGAACTCACGACGGCCATATTTTTTCAATAATTTTCCAGACTGCTGTATGGTGCTGTTGGTGTTCTGTAGTTCCGATTGTGTCCCCTATAAAAAGAGTACTTTAATACTATTCCACAATTTTAAAACATGTGTTACGAACAGCAAGGTTTTGCTGAAAATAAGCACTGCAGTATAGTTGTTGTTATGTTATTGCAAGGTTTAAATGAAGTATATGTTATTCTTAAATTAAAAAGACAGTAAATATTTAGTTGAAATGACAAATATTCATTATAATAATTTATTAACAGTTTAAACTAAATTAAATTGTAAGCTAAAAAATGTTTTTTATTTATGTGTGCATATAAAGGATTTCTTAAGTAACAAAAACAACCGCTGTTTAAACCATTTAATACCTACAATATTAAGTATCACTCACATGCACTGCAGTACTGGATGAAACTAGATTATCAAGCGTATCCTGACTCCTTTGTGTTGTAGCAGCTAGTTGTCTGCTTATTGTTAACAGCTGCTCTGTCACACCTTTATCACAAACAGAGTTAACTAACTACTTGTTCATTATGTCTAATATAATATTCAGTTAAATTGTTTTAAGTGGCAATTTTCTTTTAACGTCTTTATCACCCAGAGAACTTTCATGCTATACAAAATACAAAAGTAAAAGCTTCGTTCTTACAAATATCAATGATGCAAATATATATGGAAATAGTCTATATTTGACTTCCCTACTTTGCCTTACTAAACACGATTCTTTCCAATAACTTAACACAATACTTTGCAATGAGATTAATAAATTTTATCACAAATATTGAATCACTATATCATTGTCTTTCGGGCTGTTTGGCCGATGTGGGGGGAAAGGGGTTTTCCCTTTTTTTCCCCCCCGGGGGGGGGAAATTTTTTTGGGGATTTTTTTTTTTTTTTTTTTCAATAAAATTCCCCCCAGATATGGTGAACGATGCCTGAAAGCCTTACACAATATATTGAATCATTGTTAACCTAATATGGTGCTAACCTGTAGACACTTTAAGTAAACCATCTTTTTCAACTTTTTTATGCCTGAGTCGTAAAACAGATTGTTCTCCTGCAGCATCCTTTAATAGTTCTTGTCTTTGAGCTTTCTCTATTTCCAACATACTATTAATATTTGCTTCCTTAAATTCTTTAACCAGGCTAAAATAAATTGTAATTTGAGATTTTGCTTAATCCTTATACAATATTGGTACTTAACAGTCGAGAAGAAAATTACCTTGCCTGCAGGTGCCTTTGGGATTCTAATTCAGTAATAAATTTAGGATCGGCTGTTTCCTTAACATATAGATCTAACTTCTCTAAAAGATTTCTTAAGTCTGTTATTACTGCTCTTCCTTTTTCATTTAATTCATTTAAACTTTCCATTGAACTGGTACATTTTGATATGTCCTGAAAATTATTAATTAATAATTAATGGCTTGATGACAGATAGAAAAAATCTGTATATATAAAACAATCATATAATATATATTTAAAGCAGTAAATGATATGTACAATATCTAAAAATATTTAGATCATCGATGACAACAACAGTACTTACATGAATGATTGCTTTTAATTGAAAATGATATTTTGCTGCGGTCTTTACATAGTTCTGGTATATAATATCAATACTTTCTAATTTCTCATTGAATTTTGCAGCTGCAATTTGGTGAGGTGCGTCCATAATATTACTTAAATGAATCATAGTGGAGTTACACAAAAGTAATCATCACTATATCACAAAATTAGTAATAACAATGAATTTAAAGAATCAATAATAAACCAAACGTTTCATAAACCAAATCACCCTTAGTCTGTCAATGATATTGTGATCTGGCATTTGACATTTACACTGAATGACATTTGACACTGACAGATGGTTACAATACAATGTCAAGGGCATATCTACAGATTGAACCTCGAAAAACGAAAAGGAAACAGACGATAGACGTTAATGATATATTTAATCTGTGCTTGCCTCAACTAGCAGCCTCGAAAGGGTTGCAGGGAGAATATCTTTATAAAATATCTAAAGACAATTTACGTACGCACAAATTACAAAAAGTGATTATAACCTAATAATAGTAGTAGTAATTAAGGTACATTTATAAAATATATTTATCTTCATTCATAAGAGATACAATTTTCAAGGAACAAAGGATGATGTGCTTTACCACCACGTAAAGTTTTTCTGCAGATTGGGCAAGTTGATCTAATCCTTTTTGAATGAAGAAGACACTGTGTACAAAATATATGGCCACATAATGTAGCGGACACAGATTTTGTTCCAAATTCCTCGAAACATATAGGACAACATAATTTGATTGATTTTCGACACCGTTTATTTTTTACCTGAAAATTAGGTATATTTGTTACTTTACCTAACTTTTTTAGTTATCATAAACAATACTTGTAAAGAACTACCAAATATAGCAAAATTGTTAAAAAAAACTACTTACTTTAGTAAGTTTCGTTTTGTTTCCTTCTTTCTTGGATTTTTTTGTGTGGGTTGAACGGCGATTTGCCGACTTTTTAACAGGCGCCGGAGTCATTACAAAAAATTTCCAACAGGTTACTGTGTGATAGTTCTCTACTAAATGTATTCTACACTGGCTACTTTCTATGACAATACATTCATAAATCTTAACTTCAAAAATAAATTTAAACGGCTTTTTACTTAATTTCAACAAAAACAAATAATTTTGACGTGGTCATCAATAACATTCTTTTAGACCCGTCCGAAAATCTCTTCCATGTGCTATCCTTTTTAAATCCACAGATTAAAGAAGCGATATCTATGGTAAAAATCGTAGAAATAAACAATTGTGAATGCAAGCCTTCAAGCCATTACGTCATTAAGTACTGCAAAAATAGTGTAGCCATTGTAGAGTGTCTGTAAAACAGAAGTTCTTGATAAACAAAACAGAATTGTTTTAGGTAGACGTACGTTTGTATATATATTATGATCATACAAGAGTATTATAGTGACAAATAAACGTACTTGGCTATAAGTCTGCAAGGACATAGTGGACATGCCTCCAGCACTGAGTTTCAGAGGTTTTTGGGCGGCGCGAACAACTATCAACAGCTGCTTTTGGAGATCTAAAGGCCAATTCGTCCATGAGGACTCATATGCAGATAGAGCGATGCCTTCACTCTATAAACAATGTAAATCAATAAGATCGTACATAATTACTAAAGTACATATTATTAAAAATGATTATTTAAAAAAAAATACATCACGGACAGAACTTAACAGCATCTTTACTGTTGCTCTATACTATACTACCAATAATATCTATCTAATAAGTAAATAAGCTACCGTCATCTTGGATATTTTTCCTGTACCTTTGATTTTTAAAGTGTTATTTTTTTTAATAAGATGACATTAAAATAACTTTACTTACTTTTGTAATCAGCTCGTTTCCCAAATAACAAAATATGTACGCGTTCAATAAAGCAACAAATAAAAACGCAATAAAATTTGCCAAAAGTGTTTTCTGCTCTAACCCAAGCTGAAAACAAGAATTTATAGGACTCAACAAAAAACTCACTCGTGCTTTAAATTAATTAAACAAAGTAAAGATTCAAAACACAAAATAAAATTGTTAATTTAACTTTAACTACGAACCAAACTTTCGGATTCCTTGCAGCAGGATTCAGTTTTTGCTGTAGATATGTACCAACTAACGTTAACTCTGTAGTTAGAGTACAAACTATAGATACAATTGCCATTCAATGCTTAGTCATTTATTGAAAAAAAAACTTTTTTATGCAAATTGTAACGAAGGATCTAGCCCATACTTACAACTGTAACCATTAAGGCATTTAAACACAGTTCTATCGTAACAGCTAGATTCTGTATTAAAAAGAACTCCTTGAAAATGTCCTTGAAATCATTTGAATATCTGCGAACAACGTGCGAATAATACTTTTAAAACACCCTTAGAACCAGCATACTCTTTTAAACCTCATTCAAACTTCTGTCTCATTAAAAGCATTACCTCATTATGCGTACATGTTTTTTAATTATTTCCGTAAACTCCTTCCTCATTACGCAGTCATTATCCGCAGAATAAACTAAGTTCTTCACTCGTTCTTGCAGATCGTCGAGTTGATCACAAAAGTACATAATTAACGTACACACAATCCCTTGCACAGCTAAATCTCTGTACATATGTGGTAGAGCGAAAGTTATCGCCAATATTTGGCCAGCCAGAAACAAATTAATTTTACTCTTGAAAGGATCGAAGGGCATCCACGCTTCAACTATCATCTCTCCATTATATAGAGCTATGAAACAGAAAATAGAGACAATCATAGTAGAGAGTGCTGTTATAAAAATTATATGTATCGCCATAAACTTCCTGCGGTCACCAGACACTGTGTCACCGGAGTGCTTAATATCATTAATCAAATCGCGTAATTGCTCTTTTTTTATAACGAAAAAAAATATTTTCAATCCAAAGTGATACGCAACCAAGGTCTTGTCTAGATTCGACATTAGTATCAGTGTATCGTTTTTGTGCTGAAATGTTCCTATTCCTGTAACGATAATATACATAACAGCTAATACGTGTAATGAAGTCTCGTAAGTTCTGTAGAAAATCTTTAAAAAATTGCTTTGCTCCCTCTTAGGCCATAAACCAACAAAATAAAGATAATATTCATTGAAAGTGAAGAAATCTTTTTCACTCTGAAAGAGGTTTAGTCTCAGAGACGCCATTATTGCAAATGAAATGATATCTAAGTTGTATAAAACTTACAGTACTGAAATTAAAGTTTGAAACTAAGTTGATTTGATGCATCCGTAATCATGGCTTCCGATAATCCTTTCGTTATGTTAATCTAGCTAATTGAGTAATGCACTTACAAACTTGCTTATTACGAAAGAAAAATTAGATTACACATGATGGCTGGTTCAAAAAGGTAATATTCTTTGTAAAAAGTAGGAGTACAGGTAATTGCTAAATAACAGTGACGAAGTAAGTTTAATAAAAATCAGTCTATACAGAGAAGATTGATTACGAAAAAGCTTCATGAATAAACGTAAATTTCGTTTTCGTCTTCAGTGAAGTGTTCTTGCATTGTATTCTTAACAGTTTAACTAAATTCTTTGGTCCACAGCAATATAGACTTAGTTCGCGCCTGAAAAATTAACAGTTTGTTACAATTTACCCAATTACAAAATATTGTATTATTATTTATTTTTTATTAACTTTATTCAAACACCAGAAATGGTTTACAACAATAAATTTTATGTACTAGGTTATAACTAAAAGGCGCCTTTCCTAAACAGCGATATCTTCCAGGCAACCTGAAGTGAAGGAAAAAACAAAAAAAAAAAAAAAGGGGACTATAGGTAGGTGGTGCTAGAAAGGATCATGAAAAAAAAAGGCAATTAACAGTGGAAAGAAAAATTTGGTAACTGAGACTTTAAAAGTACGGAGAGATTGAGCTTTTCTGATTTCTAGGGAAGAGAGTTCCGAATTATGGCTATAGGAAGAAGGAAAATATAAATAAAAAGTATAATGAAAAAAATTATTACTTAAGAAGAAAGTTAAATTAATTCATTGTATAACAAAGAAATTGATGTACATAATAAGAAAATACTCTCTACGACTACGAGCTTGTGTAATAGATGGTGAAATTTAATTGTATCAGCTATTCAACTAACAAACATAATATCAAACAATGTTTACTTACCCTGGGTACAAATGAACCCAATATCCAAATACTCGATCCCAGTAAGGTCTTCCACTTTTAATCCTACACGCAACTAGCGGATAATTTTTAATTATGTTACACTTTTCTTCAACCATTACTTTTGTGCCCTTTGAAGTATCCTTATTTAATTTAATCTCAATTGTATTTCTTTTTGGCTTTGGAGTTAGGAGTGTGATAATTTCTTCATTCTTCTTGCTTTTCTTGACGAACCTTTTATTTATTCTTACGTCTATATCAAGCAAGGTATTTCTTTTACATTTTGGATACAGTGTAGCAGTTTTATCAACGACTACTTTGTCCTTTGTTAAAATGTGGGTAAGGTCACCTTTATCATTTATTTGAATTGTGTGTGTAGCTTTGTCTAGTGTGTTATCGTTTTCTCTTGAATTTGTGACGTATAACTCTAAGTGAAGTTTGTCTGGACGATTTTCATTTCGCAATTTCCTTATACATTTATCAGCAAGTTCGACCAAACTGATTATTTCTTGTTCACTTCTTACAATCCATATCAAATGGATCCTTCCTGGATATCGACTTCTAGGATTTCTAAACAAATGAGATGTAATAAACAACTATTAGTATTATTAAATGACTAATGTGTACTATGTGTATCTTTATTTTAATCTTTGAATTACCTGCAAATAAATTCTAACATTGGAACGAAGGGGGTAATTCCAACCCCCGCTGCCACACATATAGCTATATCACTCTTACACGCTCCCTCCATTGGGCTTGAAAATGGTCCATCTATTAACATACTGTGAAATAAAATACAATATGTTATTCGATAATATAATAAGAATATTCAATAACAGTATTTAAAGAGTTAGAAGAGATAAGGTTAAACACTGTCTATAGTTTACGCGAGTAGTACACATTTAAATAAAACAGTTTGACGGTTTAAAATGCGATATATTAATTAAACTTATTTAAAAATGATTTTTAACTTCGGCCCCACGTTTCATCGCCTTTTAAACCGTTAAAGTGTTTAAAAGAGATAAGGTTCACAGTTACCTTATTGTGTCATATTCACTTCCTAAAAGAACTCTTTCTAAAGCTTCTGTCCAGTCTCCTTTAACTTTTATCCACAGCTCGAATTCTCTCTCGGTGTCTGGAACCTGTAATGCTGATGGTATTTTAGGATACAAAAGTGGCGTAACAGCAGCTAAGTACTACAAGAAATACTCAAATTTAAAAGTTTGGCTTTCCTTATGTTGCTACTGGTTTATATGAAATATCCTCACCTTGACGACGGTAAATGGATGCCACTCTATCACAGAGACATCTAAACACTGAACGAGGACGTATTGTCCAACACGGCAAGAGAAATTCTCATAAGGGCATCGCAACACCAGGCTGATTATTCTCCCGGGCATGTGTCGAACCTGACGTGATAAAGGATTGGATTACTATACTATACATATAATACATACTTAGCATCAATTGTTTCCCCTAGTTTTTTGTTGTCTTTTATTATGTCTAGTTATTTATCTACTTGGATTATGACTGTGGTTCACGAGGTGCTTGTTAATGTATTTGTTGTGTTAGCCCCCGTCTCCCCTATGCCAGAAAGTACGTTAAACCATTGGTTCCGTTTTTTATGATAGGGGAGGACATACCCCAGCCTAATAACATTTAAACAAGATACACTGTCCATCTACTTTGGCTTTACAAATTTGGAATTCCACAGACCGAAACGTGGTTAAACTTGACGTCTTTTTCATCTGTGGTCAGTGCTTTGTTATATTCCTATTTTGATATTCCTATCACCCATTATAATCCGAATTTCCAGGCTAAGGCCAATGTGTTTCATAAAATTTATAAATTGATTAGAAACACGATGGATCCGGTGGGGATGAAACACGCAACCCGTTGTTTATTTGAGGCCTCTACAGGCGTAGCCTAGGGCCTAATACCAAAAATCATGATTCAATATGAGAAAATGCGCAATAAACTTAGACGAAAGTGAATTTATACTATTATTTGTGTAAGACTTAAGTTAACAATTTTCGGTCATTATGCTCTTGTAGATTAACAGTTTTAGACTAATATTAATATAAATAAGTCAAGTCATAAAATTGCAGTTAGGCTACTCTGCCTCTAGGGGCCTCATTTATTAGCCATACTTTGCTACCTTTACACCACCGAGCCCGTCATCGTTTAGGGTCACTAATAATTTAGTTTTAGTTAAAATGGGGTCTTTGAAACTTCCTCTGTCTAACCAGAAAGGAGAGCAGTCCCCGAAACTGGAGTATTCATAGGTTAAAAGTAAACAAATCTAATTAATTAGTGATCTGTAATTTATGGGATTAACAAAGAATGTTAACGAGTGCCGTTGATGGCCGGTCGACGCCCGTCACACGGTTGTGCTGTAAGCCGATTACTTCCAATCGGTTACTAGGTTAAATAGAAATGAAGACTTCCTATCAGCCTATATAACGCACTAGCTGTGTCAGCGACTTCGTCCGCGTAGGATTGTTATTTTGGGCATCCAAATTTGTTTTTGAAAAATTCCTCCAAATCTTTATAATTATAGCTGTTATCAACGACGTAGTTTAGTAAAATATAGACATAATGTCTGGGATATTGTTTAAGTTTATTTAATGAAGAATCATTCTGTCATACATATTTTTTGGTTCGCAACGTATGCATCAGAAACCCACAGACATTAATTATTTTCCCAGTTTTTTTCACATCTTCCGCTGTTTCTTCTCTCCTATCAGTCACAACGCGATGCTCTTAAGTTTTATATATTAGTATAGATAACGAAAACTTTACTAAATAACTTAACTAATATATTACGCGTTTTAAAACGTTAAACGTGTTATCTACTGGCGTAATTACGATAATGTAACGTAAAGCTTACGTAACGATTCAATTACAAAGAATATAATATATTCCCGCTTGGAAGACGGTGTGGACTCATTTCTCATTCAATTTCTCCAGGTGTCGAACCTTGTGGCCCGGTCATTACTAGGGTTCTAGTAATTACCGGGCCACGAAGGTAGTCTATCTACGTACATGAATTAGATTAATTAGGCTCGTTGGTGTAATGGTTGAATCAACGGGCCGTTGGTTCGACCCCCACCAGATCCAGCATTTTTCTCATCAATTTATAAATTTATGAAGCATGTTTGCCTTCGTCTGGTAATCTGGATATTAAATGGGTAATAGGAGTATCGAAATTTCGTCCTGGTCACGAACCGTCGTCGTCAGATAACAAGGGCGTGAAGTTTTATTGCGTGTCGGTTTTTGTCTGTTGTTCTCCGAATATCTAAAGGTAAAATAGGACGCCAACACATCTTGTTTCGATGTTATAGGTCGCCCAATAGCAAGTGAACTCAATCCTCGTCTGTCTTATAATAAATAACTGAATTAAAATAAGTATGTATATATAACGAAGTTAGATTTCAAACTTACTCTTAATATGTTCACTTTCGACATATTTCTGGCGAATATCCTCCAAACCAAATCGACGAAATAAAATGTAAGCGGCACAGCCATCCACAGCCAGGTCTGAAACGAGAACCGGTATTCAGAAATACTTTCAATATCTATACTATATGAACCTCGCGATTATGAACCACTGCCTAAGAATGACACAGAAAGATGCTTTAGTACGTCTGCATTAAGTAATATATTTGTTGTATGCTTTTAACACAAGTTTAATAATCCAAATCTATACCTATACTAATAAATAAAGCTGACGACTTTGTTTGTTTGTTTGAACGCGCTAATCTCAGGGAGGGATTCGAATTTAAAAAATATTTTTGTGTTAGTTAGAACATTTATTGAGGAAGGCTATAAAACATAGCGCTGTGACTAATAATAGGTGACTGTGACTGTGAGGTGTAAGAGATGACTAAAAAAGTCTATGAAAGAAGTAACTCTCTTTAAATGATCTAAATAAAAGTCCAGGATAGTATATGTCTATCTTTCAAGATTAACTTGTAAGAGTGACGGGACGCGGACGACGTCGTGGATAACAGCACAAATTTATAGAGTTGAACAGGGGGTTTCCTAAATCAAAAATTGATATCCAAAATAATTATTCTACGCGTACGGAGTTGCGTGACTCAGCTAGTCAATAATGAGACAATAACATCGCCTCCAAAAAGTTTTTTTCAAAAATAGAAGTAAAATGAAATCGCGTATCCCCTCGTCGGAAATGGGACGAACATATTTCCGTGTCCATTAAGTTAGACCAACGAGCCTGTTCAAGTATCAAAGTATATTATCTACCGGCTGTGCCCGCGACTGTGACGTGAAATAGTTGTTTTGTGAATCATATTATTTATTTTCCAAACCACTTTCTCAGCTTTACAAATTACTTATAGCTGTTACCCACAACGTCATCCGTGTCCCGTCGTTCTTGCGAGTTAATCTTAAAAGATAATCAAGCGATATATGTTTAAGATCATTTAAAGAAGAAACATTCTTTCATACTTATTTAGTTTCTCACACATTTTTTTAATTTCTTCGATCCCCTATTAGTCGTAGCCTGATGCTTTACAGCTAAGCCTTCCTCGATAAATGGTCTACCAACCACAAAAATACAATTTAAATTCGAACCAGTAGTTCCTAATATCATTCTCGTTGATATTCATTTATTGAACTCCCAATATTTGACAATGGCTACAGGCAATGCTATAAATTGTTATTAAGACTAATTTATTTCACAAAGGACGTTCGGGTTCATAAATTTCGAATCAATACAATTAAACTCATGATCATTTTGTATATAAATAGACTATATATAAAATGCGGTTTCTTCCTTTATGACATCATACATTGATACAATTTCAGGGCAGTCGTAATTGTCATTGTGTAGGGCTGAATTATTAAACGAAGGTTACTGAATCATAATGTTTAAGTGACACAATCAATTACAAGCTGGCTAATGTAGAATTATCATTAAATTGTACAGCGCAACAGCACAGTGTCAGTTTAATATGTATTGCGTTTTATTTTATGGTTTTCAATATAATGTAGTTATGGATCTCTATAGAGGGTAGAATCAATCTCGGTCAACAAATTTTATAAATAACATGTTAAACGATAATATTTGTATTTTTCTTTCGAAATAATACAAAATATCGATAATTAAATTAAGACGTTTTCTTGTATTAAATAATTTTTCGATACAAATGTGACGACAATGTGTTGGCTTGTAGCTTACGAGAGTAACATAGTATAAGAGTTGAAATATTTATAAGTTAAATTTTATAGTTAGCATTGTCGTGTTAGTTACAAACTGTACTATAGACGGTCTAGTTGATCTAACGATAGCAATATATGGCTATTAATAAACGGGTCGCGAGTTCGGTTCCCACTGGGACCAATATGTTTCTGATTTATAATTTTTCTGAAACATGTTGGACTTCGTCTGGAAATCTGGATGGAAATGGGTAGGAATATTGAAATTGCATCCGGGTCACGAACCACCGTCCACAGATAAAAAGCCGTAAAATTTAATCGCGTTTCGGTTTCGATCTATTTTTTGATTATCATATCCAAAGCCATAATAGATCGACAGCGCATCTTATTGAGATGTTGAGGCTGGGGTATTTCACCTATAATCAAGTGAACGGTTTAAAACGCGATATATAAACCGTTAAAGTGTTTTATTTAAATGTGTACCTACTACTCGCGTAAACTATATACAGTATCTTAACCATTCTTTGTTATTATGACAATGAAAATGACTAGAGCATCTCAGAGCTTTGCGAGACAAATTGCCATATACATTCTGGCCATTATTTAATTCCCCTATCAAGCGCTACTAATGGCCTCTCCCCCTTTATGTCAGCTAAAAGCAAATCCGTTTTCATTTCCCTGGGATTTAATCACGACTTATTAAGTATAATTTGCAGGAAATGGATGTGAAGGATACAAATTTTGATCACTTTTAACTGATCGTGTCTTTTACGCAGGACAGACAAGCAGAAGTAAGCTACAGCCATATAACATCTCAACAAGATGCACTGTCGGCCTATTTTGGCTTATATGTGTGGAAATCCACAGACTGAAACGTCATGAAACTTATTTTATCATCTGTGGATGTCGTAATCGAGAAATGGCTCTCGACCTTACTCGATGATTGTTTGCCGTTCCTCCTCAATTCCTCAAGTACAAATATCGAAGTAAAAATTCAAGTAGCTTAGCAAAATGGGCGCCAACACGAAATACAATTCACCTAAGAATGATTTTTAATATATTGTTTAACTTACCTTTGATTTAATAGCAGAAAACTTTGGTACGACAAATGTATCATTTGACTTCATAGACATAATATGACTAGCATCATTATCTTCTAATACTTCTTCCTTCAGCACTCCGCTAAAAAAAAAATATTCATGAAAATCAGGTACCGTTCACAGTGAAGAGAATGATCAAAGTAATATTATAACTTTAAATTAAGAAAATAAAATTAATATCACTTATAATAATTATTAGTTATTTGCGCTTGTGGAAAATATACTTTAAGTCAATGAGTACTCCAATTCCGACAAAATGTTATGACCAGAATACAATTATAAAAGTAAACGACAGTCCCAAGTTTACGCGAGTAATACACAATTAAATAAAACACTTTTAATGATTTTAAACGCGAAATGTAACGTCAACACGATGATGACTGCTGCAAATCATCTGAAACATTGGGCCGTCTTTAAAGTACGTTGAGTAATACATTTTGGCGTTTTAAACAGTTAAGAGTGAACTTTTCAAGGACTGCTGTTAAAATTATGAGAGTACTCTTTGGAATTTTTTAAATACTTAGAAATACCTTATTGGATGTATCACAAGCAGCACCATAAAGGGAAGATACAGATGGTGCGTGTACCAAAACGCATTGTACACCCTCCGACGTACAACTCTTATAGAGGTCGAACCCATGCACAGAATGATGCAGAGCATCGCAACACCGGAGACTCCAGCTAAGCTCATCAGTAAATTAAGTGGGTTCTGAAATTTATTAAACTTATTAGGATCGATAGAAGTGGCGTCATTTTCTCCTGGCTGTAATACCCAGTTTGGGTCACGGTGCCAAGAAAAATATTTTTCTGCGATTAAGTATTTTTATCAAGAAGATAAAGGATTACGAATATCTTTTATATTTAAGTTGCAGGAACAGCAGTATTACATACATAAACAATGCAGTCGTGTTTCGTCACAATAATACATTTTCTTATTACTTTGATATATACAATAAATGACTTTTCGTTTCTCTATTTTTTTTTCTGCAGACTCATCTTTCATTAAAAGACTGTCTTGGCCGAGCAACACAATTTTCTCCCAGATATTCAATCCGGACCTTCAGACACTTCATGCCATGCTAAATAATAATTGAGCCACGTCTGAACCATGGATGAAGATTTGATTTCGTACAAACATCATCTGTCTCTAGATTAATACGATTTTCATCAGCTCTATAAATCCTCATTTAAAAAAGCAATTACGAATCTTTTCAGTGAAGGATGAACGCATATCTCTGACCCTGGCCAAAGGTTCACATTTTAATCACCTAGGAAGTTGAAACAAACTGAAGTGTGTTTGTTCATCATATGCGCACCTTCAAAACAACAATAATTCACTCCACCCCCTTCGTACGAGCGACAATACGAAGCCCAACTTGACTCTACGAATGGACTTGAATTTTCCAGCCAGCTCGCTTTTTTTGCTCGCACTAAACTGTACTTATAAATCCTTTACGCGTGGGCTTTAAATTCACACAATTTATTTCAAAATAAATTAATACACACGTAATTTAAAATTATTATTTCAGTTGTGTTTTTATACTTAGTGAAAGCTTTGAAAGTAAAGCATTATTTTAAACAGTCAAAAAGTATTATAATTTATTTCAGACTGAAAAAATATGACATGGACAAGACTCGAACTTCGAGTCTTCAACCTAAAATTATGTATAAATTTAAATAAACTTTAATATCAATTAACATGCAATAATGATACGTTAAAAATTGAAAATAGATTGAAAAAATGTATGACTCAGATAGGACTTGAACCGGCATTCTCAGCCTTCCGTGCTATTGCTCTAACCAATTGAGCTACTGAGTCCTCCACGTCGTCGTCGAATTTTTTCAACGTATTGATACATGCACCTCTCACGCAATTTATTTTCGATTTTTAAATTATATAGTGCCATGCCATGTGCTATAACATGTGAAAAATAAAAGAAGCTCACCTCATTTTTATAGCTAGCAAAATTAATTTCCTCCCTCTGCTCGTCGTATCGTCGGGAAAAATTCCACAGATTAACAAAATGCGACACGGAGTGAATCACTAAAATCATGAAGCACACTTTAAAAACCACTTATCCTGGATACTGTGTCAAGATGGCATGTCCACTGGACGCTTACATACATCTTTTGTACGTACACGTCCAAAGGACATTGTTGCCTTTAATAATATATTGAAACCTAAATAGATATTGAAATCTAAAGATCTTAACTTTTGTCCAGAAAAATGATCTAGATTTTTGTAGGAAGATACTTAGCTAAGTATCTGTCCTACTCAAACTTTAAATAAATACTGTTTGTAGTTTACGCGAGTAGTACACATTTGAATAAAACACTTTAACGGTTTAAAACATGTAATATATTAGGTAACTTGTCTGCTTAACCAGCTGCAAAGCACCCGAAACGTCGGGCCATATGAAATAATTTGTAAGTTTAACTAATATATTTCGCGTTTTAAACGGTTAAAGTGTTTCATTTAAATTCTGTAATACGGTCACAAGCCACTTAAAAGTTTTCAGAATCCGAAAAAATATTTAGATCCCATCCTCGGTCATAATAAACCTTCCCAACTAAGAGCTCCCCCGTTTTCTATATTAACTTCCTCCTTCCAATTCCCAAACCGCGTCGTGGCGTCATTAGCCTGCGTCTGAAGGACTTAATGGTGTTCCGAGAGGTTTTTAGGTCTAAAAAAGATCTACAGCCCTTTGTAGAGGCACTAATACTTTCGCTCTTTTTAAAATTAAACGAATGGCCGTCTAGACTTTGTATGAAAATAAACACAGAAGGATACACACGCATACACACAAAACCTCTTAAACATACGTAATAGGCCAACTATACTGACTCATCACAACTTTTGTTATACAACGGCGGATCCCATGTTGTGGTGTCATGTCCCCTGAGCTGGTACCAGGATTTAGGTGGTCTTGAACATATTGATTTTATTTGAAAATTAATATGCATTGTATTGTAAAGAATGAATATTTAGAATTAAAATAAATAAATTAATCGTTCTTGACTTGGCCACGACTATGTGACCCCCTCGTGTCGCCAAAGCTGGATCCGTCCTTAGTGTTTTAGTTAAAACACGAACAGCGGTTAGTCTAAGAGCCAGTCATAGTAGGAAATAGAAATAATTTCCACTCAAAAATGGGGGTAAGTGCTTCTTGGTTCAAACTAGAACGGGTTAATGTCACCTCTTACAACTTTACGGTTTTAGACCTTTAAAATACTATTCGTGCTAAGCATAGCTTGGACAATACAAAGCTTAACCGCAGTAAGTACGTGCTAGCTAACACATTGGCTTTTAAATTTTTTTCAACGATCTCACGGAATAGAAAAATTAAAAAAAAGGTATTGTCTATAGGTCGCGTGTAGACACGGCAATCCGGAGAGACATAGGTAAAAATGCTTTACTTGTAAAAGCGAATTAAACATCTAAAAAAATTTAAAAAGATCGACGACACGGGTGGGAATCGAACTGGCGTTCTCGTCGTTCCGTGATACTCTAAGCTCAACCAATTAAATTACCGTGCTGTCAAAAGTATTTTATATAAGACAAAATTATGTCAAACTATACAGAGCAAAATTACACATTTAATCTTAGAAATTGGTTTTTTGAAATAGTTGTATATAATATTTATAATCAGTAAATCTTACATTTATAGTCTGTAAATTGCAGACTATATATTTATATACTTTTCCTACATTTTTTTTCTTTATATGCCTTTATTTCAACACATAATTGTCAAATCTCATGAGTTTTCTTCATCAAGTTTAATTTTGGTTTAAGCTTTTATTATATGTATAATTGGTATGCCCATTTCTTAATAACATAAAAATGAGTTTAAAAAAATCCTTACCACCAAACAGAAGTAAAGTGAACGCGACAGTCATATGAAAACTCTTCGCTTTCTCCAACCAGAGAAAAAATAACCCTGGACATAGTTTAGATAAGAACCTAAACAATATTTGGTTCAGCTTTTTACATAGAGGTAACAGAATTAACGCCGAACAAACATTAAGGACAGTCGCTGTGCCTCGCGATACGCAAAGGCCGATCTGTAAATAAAAACAAACATATTAATAATTAAGATTATACGAACACAAATGTTTTTTTTTTATTATGATATTTGACGGCTTCGTTGATGTAGCTAGCAATAAGTGGCAAAATATTGGTGCCATGGTTTCGATCCCAACGGGATTTATAATTTTTCTGAAACATGTTGGACTTCGTAATGGATATTAAATGAGTGGGTTATTATTAAATCCGTCCGTCCACAGATGATACAGCCGTGAAGTTAAATCGCGTTGCGGTCTCGGTCTGTGGATTTCCGAATGTCCAAAGCCAAAATAGGTTGACAACGTAGGTAATTATATGGCTGGGATATTTCTGTTCTTCTCTATTATAAAAAACAATTTTACCAACAGATTCGTTTAAAATATAGCTTACCCCTAACATTCGCCTTAAGTAATAAAATTGCCTTCCGTTGGAGTAAAAAATATAAGTGTTATAAAAAAGATAAACAACTAATGAGATCCATGTTATCTGAAACAAACAAAATCGAAAGTATAACAAGGTTTCTTCCTTAACCCCTTCTGTAGTATACGGTATACAGTAGTTTACGAGTGAAATATTTTTTTTTTGGTACTACTTGTTATCTGATAGGGACAAACTGAAAATCAGCGCTTAGCAATCCTTGCTGAGCACATGCTACTCAGCAGCTTGATGCCTTTTAGCACAAAGTTAAAATTGTACTTTTTGTATTCTCTTAATTTTAAGTTTTATTTTTTATTACTTATTTTAGTTGTAAATTATGTACTTTGTGATAATTAACGGATTATTTATTTAATTTATTAATATCTGGATAAAATCTGAAATTCGATACGTCCTCAAATTGTTAGCTTTGTGTTTGGTATATTCTAAAACATGATTTCGGACACCCATTTGAAAAGTTGAGTTAAGATATTTTTATAAAAGGCCAGTTTCATGTTTGAAAAAAAAACATGTAAGAGATTTCAATTAATTTACAATGAAACTATAATTAAGTGCACTAACCACTACACCAATGGGACAACATTGGCGTAGTGGTTAGTGCACTAGACTGCAAAACACGATATTTCCCCCAGGTTCAAATTTTGGGACGGCTAAAGAGTAGTACCAGGGGGGGGGTTGGGGGGGGGGGTAAACCCTTTTTTTTTTTTTTTTTTTTTTTTTTTTAGTTGCTAAAGCTACACTAAACGCTAACCCAATCTGAAACGCCATGGTTCATATAAGCTCTTAAAACCCGAGAGACATGTTCCCAATAGTGGAACATAAATGGGTTAAAACTACCATAAAAATCGCTTTTCCGCCAATTTTAACCTGTCTGTAGTTTACGCGAGTAGTACACATTAAATAAAACACTTTAACGGTTTAAAACGCGATAAATATTATTAACTTATCGGATTTCGAATGCTTTGCACACTGGTCAATCACGGTCGCCGAAATGTCGGGCCGAAGTTAAAAATAAGTTTAACTAATATATATCGCGTTTTAAACCGTTAAAGCGTTTTATTTAAAATAACAATAGTTTACGTAGCAACACGCCTTCTATATTCAAATATTTGAACTAACATACTCTACATTCTGTGGGAACGTAAAAAGAACGTGAATCATCGTATCCTAGAACGTGTCGGAAGCGTACGTTGTGCTATTATAGCGTAGTAACTACTAGCAGACTATTCAGACGTGCGTTCTATACAACTGCTTTGACAGGGCATCCATTGAACATCTGAATGGGTCTGTAGGAGACCGATGACAGCATATGGGTCTAGGTGTGGTCTCGCATTAATTATTACAATCTTATTATTATTTATTTGTATAGAACAGTTATTATCGCTTGAATGATTTTGTAAAGAATCTATCATTCGGTTGTAAGAAAGATTTAAACCTTGTGATAACTGTTTAATTCCAATTTTAAGCAACTCTAAACCTATCGATATGATAATTGTTTCTTTGATGTTTATGTTTTATTACACATATTTATTGTTCCTATTCTTGATATTTATTAAAGAAGAAGTTGCATTTGGATCTTTCAAAATGCAACTTCTTGGTAGATATATAGATAAAATTTAAACCAATTTTCTTAAATGTTTTGATACGTGTGACTGTATGAAACATAAAATAAACAATGTAAATTTACGTATCGACTTTTTAGACTTTTCTAGACCAATCAATCTTTGTATCTAGTCATTCTGACCGATTAAAAATGTATTTTTAAATAAAACTGTTCTACATAAACTTTAGGTGAATAACCTGTAAGCTGAATGTGTAATTCCGAATTACGGCAAAACGGTTTAACTAATTATCTCGTGTATCTACCTAAGTGGTATCCAGCATTGTACAAGAGGTGTCCTTTATATACCGATCTAAATTATATACATTATATATTTCTATACTATTTAACTAACTAAAAAGTTATTTTATACCGACTTTAAAAGTCGGTTTTCAATTAAATTCGTCTATATATGCTTATTTACTTGCGCTTGCCGATTCTGATGATTTTTTTTGTTAGAAAGGAGACATATTCAAGATGGTCCCTATATAATTAAATCAAAGGCAGCGATTTCAAAAATGTATTATCATTTCTATTTAACTAAATATATTTGTCTTTACCCGAAATTACTAAAATTATATATGTGCATGCAAAATAAATATTTTGTTTTTTATTCTAGTTAGTATTTCTTTTTTGTTAAAAATTACTTTATTTGAAAAGTCGAAGAGGTCTGACCTCGACCCCACGGCCACATTGAACCAATAATATATTTTCAACTTATTTAAATAATAATTCAACAAAAGAACTTTTTTGTCTGTATTTATGTGCTTATCACCAAAGGTACTGTATGAGTATAAATATTGTGAATTAGAATAGATCATGTATACGTATAATACCACTGCATCTATTTGCTATACTCCAATACAGCTGACTAATTCCACTAATCTCTAGGAATGTAAAGCTATACTAATACTCTTTTCAGACTAGGCAATATCGCCTTTATTAAATCTAAATATACGGTACAGCTGTGTGTAAATCTATTGTAATATTATATAGCTGAAGAGTTTGTTTGTTTAAACGCGCTAACCTCAGGAACTACCGGCTCGAATTGAAAAATTATTTTCATATTTACAGAAGAAGGCTTGTGGTCCCTATAGGTCCCGATAGTAGCGAAGGAACGAAAAGAAGAAATAATGGAGAATGTGGAAAAAACGAGGAAAATTATTCATCTTTGTTCGTTGCGTACGCTGCGACAACGGTTCAAGAAAAGTATATACGCAATAATGATTTCTCTTTTAATTATCTAAAAAATATCTACGACAATATATGTCTATCTTTTAAGAACTATAATAGGATTCGCAATTAAATTATTCCAATTTGAGAACGCTTTATATTATAGCGTGAGCTGAAAAGGGCTTTACAGCTGTTATGTAAACAGAGGTGAATGTCCTTCAGTAAAGATTTGTATTATATATACATGCGTTATCAACCCGGTAATGTTATCGCGTTAATTAATATACATCTTAACACTAGGGACACCTGTCTACGTAAAATTTAAGCAAACACGGACAATGTCTGTCTAGTAAAAACTTTTTGTTAAACTTATTCAAAATTATTTTAACTACGGCCCGACGTAAAAATAAGAGTAACTGATATATATCGCGTTTTAAACCGTTAATGTGTTTATGACGAGGAATGATCTTTCCAGCGCAACAAAAACCTTGCAAGATGAAGATTTTTTTCCATTTTTGTCACATTTCCCGCTATTCCTTCGCTCCTATTAGTCACGGCGCAATATTTAACAACCTTCCTCGATTAATGTTCTAACTAACACAAAACGAATTATACAATTCTAACTAGTAGTTAACAACAAACAAACAAACAAACTCTTCAGCTTTATATATTAGTATAGATTGCTGTTCCTTAGCTAAAATAAAATAAAACTTAAAGAGAATAGTTTTTTTTTCGCTATACTATTTGTGTTATGTATCTGTGTTTGGTAAATAAATAAATATTAGTTCAACGTCAAGCGGAATAAAACAATTGTTAAGAAATATCAGCTGAGTTTTGCTTTGTATTTAATTAAAATTAAGTTAGAAACAATAAAGTTAGTTTTTACTTTAGTTAAGTTAAGTCCTGGGTTCGAATCTCGGGAAAATCATAGATTGTTGATCGGGCACAGAAGTCTGATCAATTACTGTAAATAAAAATGGTCACTAAAATGTGTTCGCCCCATGTCACACGTGGGAAAACGGTATTTCATTTTACTTAATTTATTTAGCTTTTTTCACCCAAACAATGCAAGTACTAAAACATATTGGAATGAGTATAATTTGGTCTTATTATATCGCCGTAAACGCGTTAAGTCTTGTATTGGGTTTTGAATTCCGGGCACACAATAAATTGATAAGTCTGTCAAGGCACAAGTCTCATTGAATATTTCTTTACAAATATAATTAATTGAGGAATACCACAGGACTAATACTGAGAAATTTTCCTTTATTTGTTTTCAATACCTTTTATTGATCCAGTAAATATTTTTCTAGTAAGTTTAACGAATGAACCAGATACTCTTTGTAGTTTACGCGAACGCGAGTACACATTTAAATAAAACACTTTAACGGGCCGCAGTCAAAATAATTTGTAAATCAGTTTACCTGATACATTTCGCGTTTTAAACCGTTAAACGTGTTTCATTTAAACGAATGAATCAGCTGTGATGAATATTGCAGTGATGAATAAAAATAGTCATTATTTGCGAAACGTATCGCCGACCACCGTTGACATCATCGTGTTCTTGGAAATGCTTTAGGTCAGGACCAGCTTGGCTTTATTTCGCAGAGCTTTTACACCAGATAAATAACTCTAAGAATTCCCCATCCACCAACACAACACAACCACACAGATCTAGTAACTTAAAATTTAATAAAAACTTACCATAAAGAAATGTTGCTTTAAATAAACACAAGCGATACTCATAAAACGTGTCATCGCAACAATTTAATTGCAATTCGTTAACAGTTGACATTAATGACAATTTAAGAGTAATAAATTTCCCGCCTTTTCATAATTTATCGCGTTGTATAGACATGGAGGAACTCAGCCGCGATGTTGCTAAGGAGGGCGGCGTGCGACTGACACGATTAGGCAGAGTTCACGTCAGACAGGTCAACGCAGCCTCGTAGCCAGCTGTGTTTGAACTGCTGGATGAGTGAAACCAATTAACTCGTTGGAAATTGAAACGCTTGTAACTTAACAATGCCTGAAAGAAACCCTGTAAAGTAAAGTTCCATAATTGTACGTTGAGTTGTTTTTTCGTTCGATTATACATTGAAAAAATTTAAGATACTGTTTGGACTGAACTGGACTCCACAGCGTTCCGTGTTACTCTAAAATTCCTTTTATTAAATGTTAGTGTAAGGTACACACAATAGGTAATTCACGGTGTAACACGGTGAAGTGTATGTGTGTATGTATGTAGGTACAGACTGGTAAAATGTTGTCTTGATCTTGAAGCTAACCTTCTTATAAAAATAACAGATTAACCATGGATATAAATTTAAAAAAATATACGTATTTCTTTTTTTTTTCATTTATATAATACCATCGCGTCCAATAACATGTAAAAAAATTTTTAATACCTATAGTATAGTTACGGGATACACAATTAATTTTATTTTTTAAATTTTAGGTTTAAGATCTACAGCTGCTGCAAAGCTCGTACGTCAGGCCTTATTAAAATTTAATTTAAAAATATGTTAACTAATATATTTCCTCTTTTAAATCATTAAAAATATTTATTTGTAACGTGTAGTATTAATAACTAAAACCTGTACCTTTCACATATTCTTCTCGACTGGATTCAAATCTCGGGTAAAATTGTAAAGGTAATTGTTATCTAAAAATGTACATTTTGAACCGTTAAACTTGATTTATTTAATAGTAATATGGTCATACTAGATTACAGGTTTTTTGTGGACCAGCTCTGAAATATAGTCTTTGTATAATTGTGATTTGTGGTACTATAATATGCTATTTTTATAGAATAGTATATAATTCAACAGAATTAAGGTATGTAGAACAGCCGTACATAATAAAACAAGAATGTTTAGACCAAACATCAATATAACGCGTAGGCGAGATTTCGAAATAAACGTTTAACATAGTAACAGATTCAAAGCCGAAGTTTTGTGGGAAAAAATATTATTTTTCTTGTACTAATTCTTGGATAAAAATTTTACGGAACGACTATTATTTTTCTTTTGATACTCTGTAAGTTTTACGGACCACGTAAGCGACGTAGAGATGTTTGGGTAATATAATTACATAGAAAATTAAATAGTAAGTATGAAATGGATGGTCTACTATCAAAAACGCGCAAGCACCGTTTTAAGAATAAAAAAATTATCATGAATTGGCCAAAAATTTTATTAAATTAATTTCAAAAAAGGTAAATTTACCGGCGTTATATTACAGGCTTTATTATTAAAACAGCTATAAGGATAAAAATATTTCATAGTTATGCGCTGCATTTTGCCCAAAAATTAACTTTCTTTAAAATTTTGATATTAGTAAAGTACCCACCAAAGAAAAACTACTTTTAATCTAAAATCTTAACTTGCGAGACAATATTGATTATTTAAATAAAACACTTTAACGGTTTAAAACGCGAGATATTAGTTAAACTCATTTGAAAATGATTTTTAACTTCGGCGCAACGTTTCGGATGCTTTGCAGCAGCCGTGGTCACGGGGAGACATCCCCGTTAGTTTAACTAATATATCGCTCTATCTATCGTGCTTGAGTCAGGAGTGTCAACTGCCAACGTGCGTCAAATAATTATTTATATTACATAATCTGTGCAAACCTTAACTTTGACGAAAGTATGTTTACAATTTCAAAACACGGTGATAAGTTATGGTTTCAAACAAATGTTTCAATAATGAAATGAAGTGTTATCAGTGTTTTTTTTTAATAAAAATCAAAATATTATTTAAAATGGACCCACCATCACCATGGAAAACGCCGAACCAAGTTATGCAGATACACAAACTAAAAATACGGAAAAAAGCATTGCAGGTGCGTGTTTACTAAACTTAACTAAACTAGCATAATAATAATGGAGCAAAATAAAATGATTTATTATCAATTTAACAGGACCGTATGAAACAGTCATCAGCTACAGAAGAATCAAGTTCACATAACAATTCGACAAATGATTTAGATTTTTCAAGGATTCTCAGAGGAGATAAAAGAAAAAATCCATTTTCCAAGTAAGTTTAATTTATAAGTTTTATAGAACTATTAGAAAATAGCCATTGTGCACATATTTGCTTTTGATATTATAGAAATGCTGTTGAGCAAAGCAAGAAAGCAAAAGTTGAAGATACACAGTTAAATGAATCTAATGATAAAACACTATTTGCATTACTGAAGTTACCAGCAAAAATTCCTGAAAAGCCACCACATGAAGTTGACTCAGAGAAATTATCAACATTTTCTAATTTACTGCAAAAGTTCACAGCCGACCATACCATCGAAAATGTAAGTGTAAAACAAATAAACATTATCTAACCAGTAAAGCAGCCTCTTAACTGGTCACATAAATTAGTAAAATGTATTTTCCTCTTATCGCTCTTTTGTTTTTTTTTACAGAAGATAACAGAAAGTAAATACAAAAAACTACCTATAGACTGGGCCTTAAAGACAAAGTTAAGACTAATGTCAGCTAAACCTTTTCCATGGACAAATAAATTGAAAGCAAGTGAAGAAGCTTCAGGGATTACAGGGTATGATCATGCAGCATGCATTTTTTATAGCATATTTGGATCTAAAAGAATGTGTTTCATATTACACACTTCAATTGAAAAAAAAACCCCTATTTTCAAATATTATGGCTTTTAAACACTTATTATAATATGCATAAATATATAATGAAGAATTTGTCTATTCCGGCACTTTAATAAACAGACACATATATTCTTGCACTAAGCTGTATGTATAGCTATGCATTTAGTAATTAACAACTTACACTTACATATAATGTATGTGTACATAAATATTTAATGGCATATGTACCAAATCATCATAGCCCAATACTGTATTATATTGACATTATGATTGTTGTATACAGTCCAGTTATCCAAACATTTCTATAATCTGGTACCCTTAGGTTTTTAGAGATATTGGATTAGTGACATTATTGATACTGTTAAACTAAAGAATGAAAAAAATTGACCCAAATGTCTAGAGTTTAATTATAAGTTTATTTTAATATAATCAGATACTTCTAAATGAGATTTGTTTAGGTTTGTGAGGTGTCTAGACACAACATCATCATCAACGTTGGACACATCACCACGGGCTAGATTTCATCAAACATGTCTATACTGGCAACATCCAAGTCTGCCCTGGCTTAATCTCTTCCCACGTTCGTCTGGCAAAGTTGCAGCTACCAGCTTCATGGCAACAAACGAGGAGGTCAAACAAGCTCTACTGACTGAGTGGACAGAAAGTTTTAGATCTTTATTTCAGGTAGACCCAATTATTTTCTTTATGTAAAAATTTTCTTTTTAAAAAAGTCTGTAAATTTCCCGGGGGGGAAAAAACGCGGGGAAAATTTTTTTTTTAAAAAAAGACACCCTTCCATCTTCCATCCTTCCATCATCCAGACAACAGCTGCTGCTAAGCATCTACTGAATGGATTTGAATTAAATTTGGTATACAGATGGTTTAGACCCTGAGAAAGAACATAGGCTTTTTATTGCGAAAAGGGGGTTGTAAGGGGTAAAAAGGGGGGGTGAAAGTCGTTTTTGAATGCAAGAACAATAAAACTTTCTTCTTTGGCTTTTTGGGAATAGAAGTGAAAGTGTGGGTGGGAGTGGGATTTAGGGTAGGAGTGATGTGAGGACTGAGAGTGTTGCGCCAAAGTAGCACTTACAACATAGATTGGCTGCGATAAATGCGCAATTACATAAATTAATAAACAGCCTAAATAATTAAAAATTGTACCCTCAAGTCACTATTCCACACGAACGAAGTCGCGGGCACAGTTCGTAATTTATATGAATAAAGCTTAATTTATTGTTACAGTTACTGCGTGCACTGCATTGTCCATATTTCTATGTATGTGGAAATACTTTTACTTGTCTATTTTTGGCGGCTGGATTGTGTGGTTTACCTGAGCCTGCAGCTCTTATTGCACCTACTACTAGAGGCTTCCGACAAACTTTAAGGCAAGAAGGTGAGTAAATTATGTTTACTTTTATGTTAAACCGTTAAAGTGTTTTATTTAAATAAATAATTGTTTGACAGATGTGGAGTACACAATGCCCCTTCGGCCTGACAACAAGAAGCGTCTAAACACATCCGACGACGATAGGAAGAACTCATCGCATGATAGTTGCTATGATACTATGGACGGCGGCACCAATGGGAAGTGCCCTTCGGAGGATGAAGACGATCCACATGAATTTCTATCTCAAATGGGTCTCGCAACCGAAGAAATCAATAAGATACACAATGCACAGGTCAAAATATACCTAGTACAATACATAATTAACTAATATACTTTCCTGTTTTTATAGTTGCTTCCCCTTCCTAAACACCCCAACCTCCTCAGTTGAAGCGTTTTAAACCGTTATTTAAATGCGTTATTAGTTCGCGTCCTAACTAAAAGAGGGATAATAAGTTAACTAATATATTTCCCTTTAAAAAATTTAGCTTGAACAATTTATTTACCTACGAGTGAATATTGATATTTTGTAAAATGGACGAAGAAATGTCCTCCCCCCATATATTCGTAGGTCTATACCCAAATATGAATTAAAACAGCATTTAATATCTACAGGCCCGATTAGCTCAAAACGCAGAGAGCTCTGTAGATAATGCAGCCGAGTCACTAGTGTTAGTGCGTGGGGCTGATGCGCAAGCGCTGTTTAACTTCCTCCTCAACTGCAAGTCGCTGGTCAGTCCCATTGGTCCCTACGCGGGAGTTCCCCCCACACTACTATCTCCTACTGCTTTCCATGGAGGTGCACTGCAATCACTTAAGGTAAGAAATAGTGTGATGAACAGAAGAAAAAATATTATTTTTGACTCTCATCATTAAAATCTGGTCTGTCAACCAGCATATACCATTTAACAAAATATGTATAGTATAATTGTAACGATAAAAGCCGATGACACAAAAGTGTAGAACATATTGTTTACGGGTGTTTTGTGAAGTGTTCAGAATTAGTTCAAATGCTTCCATTTTTTTGGTTGTGATGATACCGATGGAAACCTCTTTTTGCAGGTCCGAGAGAACGTTATTCTGTCAGATAGTAAGAAGTACTATTCAATAGAATTAAGGGGACCCTTGCTGCCCACCGCAATACATTCCATCTTCAATGTTCTGAAGACAACATCAAAAGCGCAGTTCAGCGCGACGTTCGCACATCACCAGCCTTCGCTGGCTTTCTCGTGGGCTGCTAAGATTATTGCTGAAGGTAACATTTTACTGCTTAGTTGAATCATTTAATAGGACTTGAAACCAATACTTAAGAAACAATTAAATCCACTGCCTATATTAAAAATCGATTATAAATTTAACAAATTTACGACAGGGGCAGGACATGAACCGGCATTCACAGCGTTCCGTGATGTTGTTCTAACCAATAAAAGTCCTAGTCGTATTTTTTAATTTATATAGTGCCATTATGTGCCTTCATATTTTTCAAATGATATTGCTGCACCCGTGCTGTTGCTCTAAGCAATTAAGTGACCATATCAGTTGAGTTAGAACATTAGTCCGTGTCAGAATTTTCAATATAAACTCGATTTTTATTTTGTATAAATGATATCTTTCATTATATAAAACATTTTTTAATAGAATCTCTGATCCTTAAAAAACCTTTTTTTCAGACGAATCATCTAAAGAGAACGAACCAAATCATTTTGCCAACGCCTTCAAGAAGGAGAACCTTTCCGACTGCGGCATCAGTGATGAATTATTGACACATTTCTGTTCTTCGGAGCCAGGATCCATATTGTGTCTAGATAGTGTTAAGTATGACGCTGAGAATGACACTTATACGTGGTAACATATAGGCAATGCGACTGAATGATTTGAAAAATGAGTATAAAAAAAAGTTAAAAGCTGGTAGAAGATTAAGTTCCTTATATTTTAGATCTCTTTGTTTTTAAGATTAATCTTTCTCAAAGTTTTATATACATTGAGGTATTGTCTTGAATACTAAATCAATTCGTAAGGAACTAAAAATTTGTGTTTTAGCTTAATTTTTGTCAAATTATACAATCCATGTAATAATTTATCGTTGATCTTGACTTTACTAATGTATTTATTGTGTAAAAAGATTGCTGTGCATGAAATAAATGGTGTAACATATTTAGTTATCTTATTTGTTGTATTTGTCCCCAGGAACCTTGTTATTATAAAAAATGAATAATTCCTTCTATAAATAATTAAATAGTTAACTAAAATGTATGCCAAAGGTTTTTAAATATAGAGGAGGGCAGACAAGTGTAGGGTGAGAGATTCACTTAATGGGAGATGAAATACGACCTATTTTGGATATTCATTATTCAGACTAACGTTGGCTACTGGCTACGCCGCGTAGCGCATGGCACCGGTTCTTTACATCGATATATCAAACAGTGACCTAATTGACCGCCCAACTTAGCTATCGCCGGTGTCCGCCGCGGACTGGTCTTTGACACACATCGCAATTATTTATTGGTAGTAAATAATCATGAACTATCGATATATATTAATACTTATTTACAATGAAGCCAACTCCCACGGGTCTAACAGTAAGGATGTCATAATAAAATGTAATCTATGTACTTAATAATATGATTTATTAATTTTTTCATTTTTGGTAAACTAAAAATAAATTTTTCATAAGTCCACAACTTACGCATAAACAAGAATCATACAGGTCAGAAGGAAATAAATTAATCATGTGAGTTCCATTTCAAAATGACATTATTATGTTACTTAAACATAACTGCACTAAACACTAATTATCACTTGAAAAACCAAGGTGGAACTGGAATCTTGGAAAGCTTAATCTATAATATTTGTCTAAACGCACTCGTTCGCCGTCGACTGAAACGAAAAAAAAAAAACATTTTTTAATTCACTGTAACAAACACATCCTTATTTATTAAAACAAAAGAGAAAGGGATTTTTTTAAGAGTTCTCTTTAAGACATACATACAACATAATTTAAAAATGTACCTGAAATGAGACCATGATAAAATATCAGGCTTACTGAGTCGCCCACGTTTACGATTTCTGAAAAAAAGAAAATAATAAGAACATAATTACTTTGTAAACTAAATTTGTTTGTAACTTAATTTCGGTCTTATTAGATATTATATTAAAATAATGTTTAAATCTTACATTAGATGATGGTGTTGCAGGTTGTCCGGGCACTGAATATTGTGGCCGGAAGTTGGAGAAGTTTGCAGCAGTGGCCGCCGCTGAAAAGCCCGGCAGGGTTCCAGTGGGTGCGAAACCGGGTGGGAATTGCGGCATTTGACCTAAAAAAAGAATAACGATCAGTTCGGATTTTCTTAAAAGCTATATATTCTTGGGAATGGGTAACATGAGAAAAAATAAGAATAAGTAAGAAGTTTTAATATCTTCATCTTCACTGAAATTGGCCTCTACAGGTAAGGGGTTGTCCATTAATCACATGATCTTTTTTTAGCATGTTTTAAAATACATATTAATAAAAAATTATTTCATGGAATACTTCAAATCGTGTATTATCATTTGTTTTAAAATGCCGCCAATGCCACGTTGTAGTGAATACGCGTTACGTCATATGTGGTCATATTTGCGCATGCGTCACGATGAAACAAATACGGATGAAAAAAATCATAAATAACGATTCGTTCCTTTATTTGAGAGAATGAATTATTTAAATGAAAATTATATTAGTATCTAAGAATAAAGTTGATAGCTGTCCGATCCCTTACTACCTATATTGACGTTTCCACAAATATTACTACGAGTTACTTACCAGCCGGTACGGGGTTGCCAGCTGTAGCGGCAAGTCGCGACAGTATAGACCGCTCGGACATCTGAAGACGTTGCGCAACTGGGGGGATGCGCGCGAGTGTCGCGGGCAATCGAGACACGTCTGACTTCATGTCGGAGAGTAACTCTTCCAGCTGATTCAACACCTGTAACGAAGTTTGTTTTATTAATAACTAATTTAGAAAAGTGACTTGAAACCTGGTTGTGACAGTGAGAATAGGTAGTTAAAATAAAACACTAATGGTTTAACACGCGATATATTATATTAGTAACTTATTTGAAAATGATTTTTTCGGATGCTTTACACCAGCCGTGGTCACAGGAAAGCTCGCCGTGATTTTTTATATATTATTTTCAAATAAGTTTAACTAATATATATCGCATTTTAAACCGTTACAATGTTTTATTTAAATAGGTACTACTCGCATAAACTACAGAGAGTATGTAGTTGTTACTATAAGTACCTTAAGTCGTTTGAAACATGTTTGTGTACCTAGTTAGTTAGTTAAATGAATAAAATGAATTATTGTATTATAGTTTTAAAAAAAATTAAATACCTTATGCAACACTGCATTAGCGGGTTTGTTGCCAGCTAAAGATTCCTTGCTGAGGTGTTGATGAGATTCAGCAAGACATTCCACTTCAGCAAATCGGGCATTCAGCGACATGGCAGGGTGGTTGGGATCCTGCGTCAGGTTCAGATAGGCCGCACGACGCAACTGTTCTTCGATAACCAACGCTTGCTCCAGTAACTATTGGAAACAGTGAAAGTCGATTTAAATCTCGTCCTTTATAAGTCAGTGCTTTTTTTTAATATAGAGGAAGACAGACAATGGATGATGATGATTGATGGAGGTGACATCGAAAGAAGATGCTAACAGAATTAAATCGAATCACGATTAAATAAGAAACATTGGACCTCGTGGGGATCGAACCCACAGCCCGTTAGTTATAAGCCATACATTAGACGAAAGAACCTGTCAAACATAATTGGTAACAATTGTTTTCAAGAAATATGTATGAACGGAATGAAACGGAAAAATTACCTTAAACCGCCTCGCCAAAAACTTATTCTTAATTTCGAGGAAGTTGCCCTTGCCGACGTCCATCTTGAATGGCTCGTTAATGATTGCAAAGCGAAGGTCATTCTGGATGTCTTGCCATCGCCCATAGCCGTGTGTAACTATACCAGCCAGCAACCAGTAGTCATGTCGCCGGTGCCATATCTCATATTCTCTACCGGGTGCCGCAGCCCGCTCTTCGTTCAACCATAGAGTATGCAACTCGGTGAACCCTCCGTCAGCAATATTAAACATAAACTTGCGGCGCTCAACTTTGAGATCTTCCTCCTCTTTAACAAGAACCACGTCATCGTCATCCTCGTCTTTCTTCTCATCTTTAGGCTTTTCAGACGCTTCTGACTCAGCTTTCTCACTCTTTGCGTCATCCTTTTTGTCATCCTCCTTATCTTTGTCATCTTTCGGTTCTGGCTTCTTCTCCTCAGATTTCTCTTCCTCTTTAGGCGGCTCTTCGTCAACGGACATTCGTCGTTCTTCTTTAACTTCCTCTTTAATCTCTTTTTTAGGTTCCTTTTCTTCAGTTTTAACTTCTTCTTTAATATCACTGGTGTCCATAGGTTCGTCCTTATCTTTGCTATCTTTTGAATCGGAGTTTTCATCTTTTGGTTCCTCCTTTTCGTCTTTATCTGACCCTCCTGGTGTGGGGGCTTGTCCTGAAGTCTGTGCGACTTGCGTCGGCGCGGGCGATGGTGCCGCTGATGTAATGGGAGTAGCGGTTGAGGGCGCCGGGCTGGGAGCTGCACTCTCCGCGCCGGCTATTTTAACGGGCTCTACTGGCTTTCTTATTAACTCAGGCATACTGTAATAACCATTAATGTGTTCAAATTCTTGTACTTTCTTTCTGATCAGGCTCATGACGCCTATTCGTGTCAGTACGTGTTGTCGTGATAGACTTTCACGAGGCACACCGTCTGCAAATGTTTCCGCATTATCTGCTCCGGGTTCACATAAATGTCGCATGAATAATGAAACATAGGCTTTGAAATTCCTCTCCGATTTACCTCTCAAGTCCCGCACTAACCATTGCGAATTAAATGCATCTTGCGGCGGCATACCGTACCGCATGATTGCATTGAGAAATGATTTTCGTTGTCTGGCATTAAATCCAAGAACTTCCATATTACCTCCGACCCTAGCAAGTAGTGGTGGAAGTGGTCTGTCTCGTTCCTCTCGTCTCTCGAGACGTCTCTTACTCCGACGACTGAGATCACCATTGTCGTTCTTTTCGTCAAAGTCATCGTCTTCTTTGTCGTCTTCACTTCCCTGTGAGAAGTCAGAGTTGTAATCAGATCCATTTTCTTGCCATGTTGAGTCTTCTCTGCTTTCTGTTTGAGCGACGATTCCGTCATTATAATTGACTTGTTTTCGGACTCTCTTTCCTTTTCCAAGCGTTCTTGCCTGGTCTTCTTGATGTTGTTCATAATGATGTCTAAGCAATTTGATCCAGTATGCGGGGTCTGTGTTTTCGGCTTCTTGTTTAATAATTTCAGTATCCACTTCCTCTTCATTATCACCTTCTTTAGTAGAATAACTAGCCACTTTAAAGGAGCTAAGATATTCATTAGCCCAAGACTCTTTCTGTTCAATACCTTCCTTTGAACGATCCAGCAGTTCTCCCACTGCTTTATCGTCATAGTGAATAGCCTCTTCTTTGCCTTCTTCCTCTTTGAATAGTTCCTCAGTACCAAATCTTAAAATATCATCTAATTCCTGCTTTGTAAAGTTGGCTCCCTTTCCTCCCATACCGGGCCGTACTACCAAGTGAGTCAACATCATCTTTCTTTTGGCAACTTGTGTAACTCTTTCCTCTACACTGTTACGCGTTACAAATCTATATATCATAACTTTATTAGCCTGACCAATACGATGAGCACGCGAAAATGCCTGGATGTCATTGTGAGGATTCCAATCAGAATCGTATATAATGACAGTATCAGCTGTGGCCAAATTAATACCCAAACCTCCGGCTCTTGTTGATAGCAAGAACACGAATTGCTGAGCACCTGGTGCATTAAACCTATCAATAGCTTCCTGACGAATCGTACCCGTAATACCACCGTCAATCCTCTCGTATTTGTAGCCTTCGCCTTCTAAAAAGTCCTCCAAAATATCCAACATCTTTGTCATTTGTGAGAAGATAAGCACCCTGTGGCCCTGCTCTTTAAGCTGTCGCAACATTTTCGACATCAATACTAATTTTCCAGATGCCTTAACTAATGCCTGAGTGTCATAATTGCCGTGGGGTCCCAACGGGGCTTCTTCAGCAGCGACGGGGAAAAGATAGGGATGGTTACAACACTTTTTCAAATCCATCATAACATTGAGTAGGGAAACTGTTTGACCCCCACTCTTTGGATTTAGCGCCTCGTAGTTTCGTGTCAAGATGTATTTGTAATATTTCTTTTGCATGGGAGATAACTCGACTCGAACGATGAACTCGGATTTTGTCGGCATATTTTTGAGCACATCGGCCTTGAGACGTCGCAACATGTGAGGCCCCAGCATTTCGTGCAGCCTCTTCACTTGCTCTTCCTTTGAAACATCGGCGAATTCATTTTGGAATGCAGCTAAATCATTGAATTTATCTTTGTTCAAAAAGTTGAGGAGATGGAAAAGTTCTTCTAAATTATTCTGTAGAGGTGTACCAGTCAATAAGAGTTTGTAGTTGATTTGATATCCAGCCAGGAGCCTAAAGAATTTGGACTGGTTACTTTTTAGTCTGTGGGCTTCGTCAACGACCAATACCGCCCATTCTATCGAGCCAAGGCATGTAGAATCAATTGATATTAGTTCGTAAGATGTAAGCAAAACATTGAATTTAACTTGGGACTTGATTTTTGATGGTCTACCACCTCTGTTAGCGCCATCGTCGAATGTTAACTCATTTTCTCTAATAACCGCTCGAGAGTCTTTGTCCCCTACATATGTGATGCAGTATAAGTCTGGAGCCCAAAGTTCGAACTCTCGCTCCCAATTAATGATAGTAGAGAGAGGTACGGACACTAGGAATGGTCCTTTACAATGTCCCTCTTTAAACAAGGAATTCAAGAATGTCACTGTTTGAATTGTCTTTCCCAGACCCATCTCATCAGCTAGAATAGTGTCAATGCCTTGCCCCCAAGAATATCGCAGCCAGTTAAGACCCTCCAACTGGTAGGGATGAAGCTGCATTCCCGTTTCATATACAAATGGAGGTTGATCTTCATATTTCTTATTCAAATTAGTTATGGGGCGGTCAGGAGGTGGATTGTATTTTTTACAAGTCCTGCCCTGAACCCCACCACTGTTTTCTTCATCATCTGTATTATCCCTCTTACTTTTCCTACCAGATTTTTTGCCTTTACTTCCTTTTGTTTTGCCCTCTGATGTTATATAAGCACGCATATCCTGTAAGTTAATATGAAAATTTTAGAAAATGAATTATACATTTTAAAAGTTTTAAATGGTTTGATGTTAATAAGTGGCTCAATTAATTAAGATATTTAAAGTGAAATACATACGTGCTTTTAAAAATTTTGTAAGATGCAGTACAATTATATAGTTACCCTATTTTAATAGTTACTTACTTGATAGTAGTCCACTGCGTTCTTAAGACCAGCTATGTCTTCGTGTTCCGATTCCCATGTAGCTTGGTCATATGACAGATCACGCCACTTTACCAAGTAGTAGGTGGTGCCATCGCGTGCTGTACGGTGATTTATTACTCGGTGAACCACCAGCCATTCTGGTTTTACACCATACCTGAACAATTCGTAATATTTTTAAAATTTTTGCTACTTAAAGCGGTTAAAGACTTGCACTTGAATACTTTTTTTAGTTCTGATTATTATTTTATTCGTTACTTGGTTGGTCCTACACCTACTTCATAACATATATATACATTAACTAGCTGTGCCAGCGACTTCGTCCGCGTGAATCATTATTTTGTGCATCCAAATATTTTTTTGCAAACTCTGTCATCTTTATAAATTTAAGCTGTTAGCCACAACGTGGATCGCGTCCCTTCCCGTCGTTCTTGCTAGTTAATCTTAAAAGATAGACATATAGCGTCGCGGACTTTTTTTTAGATCGTTTATAGGGAAATCATGCATTCATACACATTTTTTAGTTATCTTGAACCGTTTTCGCAGCATACGCATCTGAAACCTATAGAGATGAAAAATTTCCCTAGTTTTATTCACATTTCTCGCTGTATCCTCGCTCCTATTAGTCACATCGCAATATGTTATAGCCCATAACCTTCCTCGATAAATGCTCTAACTGCTCAACCAACACAAAAAAATTTCAATTCGAACCTGTACTTCGTAAGATTAGCGCGTTCAAACAAACAAACTCTTCAGCTTTATATATTATATCAGTATAGATAATGTTTGGTTGAACATTACATTTTTACTCACTTGTAGTATTTCTCCTCAAGCATTTTCTCGTTAGGGTCGGCCTGCTTAGCATGTTTATTGGCTCGTCTGCGACCTTCCCTCTCTTCCATAGCCTCGTCAAGTTTAGGGGGCTCTTCAGGGTCTGATTTCCGCATGTAGTACCGGTACATAAGTGGGTGGAAAACATCCAGCTAAAAATTGAAATGGTTACAATGCAATAGAAATTAACTTAAATCAGAAAATTATGATGGTAAATTATAATAGTGAACAGAAAACAGAAAATGTCAAGTACTAAATACTGTGTCTATAGTTTACGCGAGTAGTACACATTTAAATAAAACACTTTAACGGTTTAAAACGAAATATATTACTAAAACTTATTTGAAAATGATTTTTAATTTCGGCCCGACGTTTCGGATGCTTTGCAGCAGCCGTGGTCACGGGGAGATTCATTTTCAAATAAGTTTAACGAATATATCGCGTTTTAAACCGTTAAAGTGTTTTATTTAAATGTCAAGTTCTTCATATTTTAGTTGTATTTATTTCTCGTTTTTTTTTATGATCAAAGTATGTTACGTTTTGGCCATAATACAATGTCAACTTTTAAAAATGTTAACTCTATGTAACGAACATTCCTCCATTTACTTATTGTTGTCATAAATAAGAGTACTTATGATTTTTTTTAACTTACCTGTAACTCAGATATCCAACTGCAATGCCAGAACGACCGCTCGTGCCATTTGACAAAGAACTCGCGGGACCGGGGCGCTTTTGATTTACCGCTGTGCTCCTTCCAACGCCAGGTTAAGATCTTTGCGACTTTACCATCTAACGGTGGACACTAAGGAAAAAAAAACATTAAATTTTGACCTAAATGACTACTGATGGATACTCTCCATCAGTAGTCATTTAAATATTTGAGCTTGTCAATTTTAATATAACACGTAAAAGAAACTTGTGTTTAATGGGCTCTTGTAAAACATTCTTACACTGCAACGTGGGCACTTCCATTCACCATCTGGTACTTCATCCAAAGGCGGGTTGAGACAGAAGCGATGATAAGCAGAGGGGCACGAATCGCAGCATAATAGTTCACCACCATCCTTACAAATTCTGAAAAGGACATAATAATTAATAAAATCTTTGGAGCCTTGTTTCTTCCTACTCTTATCTTTTGGCGTATTCATTTTATACAACAGAGTCCCAAACAAAACTTACCGGCAAAACTCCTGATGCTCATCATCATCATCCTGATCTTGAGTACCCTCGGCCTCACAGTGTGGACATGACCATCGCCCTTCTGGAGTCTCTTCTAGCTCTGGTTCCAGACACACTAAGTGATAAGCACGCGGACATGTGTCACAGAGAATAATCTCACCACCTTGTTGGCAGACCTGTAGGAAAGTAATGTCATGACAAAGTTAGTAGTAATACTTTTTTACTTCAATACTTTTTTAATAGTCTTTAATACTTTTTTTAATAATCTATGATATAATGTATTTTCCATATTATTATAGATCTTAGTGAGCGGTCCAAGCACTTGGCCGGAGTGTTATTCTTAGTAATCAGTGACTAAACATTATACTGACCTCACAATAATCTTGATGTTCATGTTCACCCTCTGCGCCATCGGGGAACTTATTTGTTGTTTTCAACTTATTTCGCTTCTTCTTTGACTTGTTGCCGATTTTGGTCTTTGCCTTCTTCTTTGGTTGCGGCTAAATTATAAGAGTTAATTATAAAAAAACCGTAAATTAAAGAGAGAAATTTCTAATTATACTAATATATAAGGCTGAAGAGTTTGTTTGTTTGTATGTTTGAATGCGCTAATTTCAGGAACTACGGGTTCGAATTGAAAATTTATTTTTGGGTTGGTTAGAGCATTTATCGAGGAAGGCTATAAAATAGTGCCCTGTAATTAATACAAGCGAAGATACAGCGAGAAAGGTGAAAAAAATTTGGGAAAATTATATATCATTATGGGTTTCCGAGCCGTACGCTGCGAAACCGGTTTAAGATATCCAAAATACATACATGAAAGAATGATTTCCCTTTAAGGGAACAAAAAAGAAGTCAGCGACGCTATATTTCTATCATTTAAGATTAACTTGCAAGGACTACGGGAAGGGAGACGACCGACTTCGTGTGTAAACCTTAAGTTTATAAAGATGAAGGGGTTTGCAAAAACGAATTTGGATGCCCAAAATAACGATTCTCGTGGACGAAGTCGCTGACACAGCTAGTATGAATTAAATTTAGAATACTGCATGATTTTCTTTTAAACCAACTTACAGGCAGATTAGGATCCTCTTCTTTCTGTGGAGCACCTGCATCATCAGTGGCACTAGTGGCCGGCTTTGGTTCCTCTGCCTCTGCCAGCATTTGTTCAAACTCAGCATCAGAATCGGAGTTAGCACCGGCACTGTGTTCTTGTTCTTCTTCCTGTTAAGTGTGTAACAAAAATAAACTCTTATTGATAATTATCATTTATCTCATAAAACAAATCTATTTGAAATGCAGCAGCTTGACAACTTTGGCATCCAAAATTTAATTTGATAAAATGTTTAACATCCATTCAGGAGTTAAATCATAGCAGTTTAAATAAATTATAACTAGATTTCAAAAAGTTACATACATGGAATTTTAACAATCCTTCATTAAAAATTAGCAAAAAGAAAACTTATTTGGTTGTACTAAGATCGAAATGAAGTTTAGGTTGTAAGCAAATGTTACGGCTAAAATTCAGTAGTGGCAACACATTTGGACCATCTCCAGTTACATTACTTAAGAAAACAATTTTCGCATAAAAATTGATCAACATAGGCAATTCTGAATGCGTACACTGCTTGTCCTCTTTCTCTTGCTGAACTTGATCTTCAGTGTGGGGACTTTTGGTTTACGCCCAGGCTTGCCTCGCGGTGTAGATGTTCCGCCCTGTTTAGGTTTTCGTCCCCTCTTTCGTGGCGCTGGTGTACTTTCGTCACTTATCATGTCATCATCTTCTTCCTCAGGCTCATCAATAGAATCTTCTATTTGCTATAAATTCATAGAAATGTGTAAATTATTTCAACTGGGACTCCACACTGCCTCCTAACCCAAAATTATCTAGGAAGTAGGACATATATTCGTAGAATAGTACTGGAGGAACATATAATATGAGATTAGTAAGTAATTTACGTAATATAGGAAGGACGCGCATGTCGTTTCGATGTTATGTGGCTAAGGTACTTCACCTACCATCAAGTGAGTACCACACCTCCTGTCTTTCCTCCATCACAAATAATTTGTATACACAAAAGAAACATTCGGCTCTTATAACTTTACAGAGCACATACTATGTATTGTAGATTTAATTTTTACTAATTATTCGGTGGGTCTGTATTATTACCTTCTCTTTAGGCACGCGTCCACTCCTCTTGGGTGCATAATCTGAAGCTGTTGAGGTGTTTGTGTTCTCCTCAGAGCCTCCAATGCTCTGATTGTTTCGTCCATCTAAGTGTGGGTTAGTCTCACAGAAGAGGCGCCACTTTGCCGCTACTAACATCATTAGTTTTGATACTGGTACCTACACATTAAAATTATATAAAAAAAACAATTCCCTACAGTTTAAAACTAATTAGATTGAAAACACATGCAGGACATAGCAGCTCAATTGGTTAGAGCAGCAGTGAATGCCGTTTCGAGTCCTGCCCAATTATTTAGTCTAAATAGATTTAAATTTTATTACCAGTAGGTAACTTCTGCAATACATTTGTGTATCTGTTACTTTAAACAGTAATATGCTTAGGGCTTAGATTTTACACATAATAATTTTAGTTTCTTTGGATCATCGTAAAGCATAACTCTAAAGCTCAAATAATAAAATAACCTTAACACTTAATATACTTTTTTAAATACCTTAGGATTTTCCTTAACAATAAATGGTCGAACATGCTGTTGGAACAATTTATAGCTAGTCAAATTTTCGAGATCTGCTTCTGAATACTGAATGTCTACATCTGTGAGGCCAAAGGATGAACACACTTCCTCCACTGTTGGCATACCTGTTGGTAAATAAAAACATTAGGTATGCAGCAAGGAGTAAAGTAGACACTAGTTCAAAACATTTTATTACTTTTGGAACTGCAGGAACAGTAACATTGTTAACAAGTTTACATTTACTATCCCAGCACTTTAGGGTTGGTGGAGATCCACCGTGCTTACCATAACCTGAATCAGAAGCAACCGATGTGGAAGTGTTGTGTTTGCTGCCTCGGCCCTTTCGCGACTTCTTACTGGATGAAACTGCACTCAGGGCATAGTCACTGTCACCTTCAGCCTCAACTTCGAGACCGAACTCTTCATCCTAAAATATACATCAACTTAAATACTGTCTATAGTTTACACAAGTAGTACACATTTACATAAAACACTTTAATGTTAAAGTGTATTATTTAAAAATACATCAACTTATTGTAACAATCAGTTTATTACTTATGAGAATACAATTTGTAATCTAGGGTTACATATATTGTATCATATCATATTATTCTAATAAATAAGTTAAGAATTCTCAGACAATACTTGGGCATATTTTACATCTGGCATAACATTTAATATCACAGATTAAATCTTATCAGGAACATTGATAAGAAGAAAAAGATTAACTGCTTCCTTCTCACAAAGAACCCAATACTTAAATTTTGTTATCCTTCTTTATACTAATTGCTTTAGTTTCTATGACAAAATTTACAAACCTCTTCACTCTCATTCTTTCTCTTCTTTTTCTTCTTTCTACCTTTCTTTTCTTCCCCTCTGGCTTTTCTCTTCTTTCCCTTTTTCTTTTTTCTGCCATCTTCAGGTGAATAGTCATCATCCTCCTAAAAAAGTAAAAACGATTAAGCATCATTGAAATTTTGTGGGCAGTAAATTCTTCATATAAGTAAAGGTACTTATAAATAAAATCTACTCCGTGTAACAACTGCTCTGAAATAATTACTAAAATCACCAGTTTTAATAGCTGTCAAGTAATAGTAGACAAGCATAGGGTTCATTACATAGAGGGTAAAATAACCCAACCAGATAACAAGATGCACTATTAAACACGGTATATTGGCTTCAGACAATAAAAAGTACCTTAGACTGTAATCAAAAATTTATTACCCTTACTAGCTTTTCCATGTGGAGGGTAGTTTGTGACCAAGATTGGTCATATTTGATGTCAAAAATGTCTCACACAAATTGTTAATTGATTTTAGAAATATGTAGGAACCAGTGGGAATTGAAACAACAAACATTCAACCAATTGGTACCATTAAATCAACAATTCTTTTGAAACAATGTCCTATAGAGGCCATAACACAGTTATGTCTAACTGATTTATTTACCTCACTTTGTATGTAATGTAAATGAAGTTCCTCACATTTTGGGCAGATGACTTAAACATTTTAATATGTATACCATTGATTTAAACACAAGACCTCCTAACTTAATTAAGAATTTAATATAAATTCTTAAAAAATAAAAAGGGTCTAAATTCTATTTATAACAATCCTATAAATAAAATAAGTAAATTTATATGAACATAGAAAAGTATTGTTAGGTAATTCTGTACACAAAATAAAGTGCACAAACATGCACAAATATTAGAAAAAAATAATTATTTTACAAAAAATATTTAATTTTAATATTATTTACCTTTGGAGGAGCTTCATCACTTTCTGCTGAGTTCTCATTTTGGCCCTCTCCTTCTTCTACATCCTCGTCCCCTGAAAATTATCATCATCTTAATCATTGATATAACCAAGACGCACATGATATAGCCTTAACACTCACGACACTCCATAATTTCACTACACATGCACACTTCCACCGGTAAGGTCACTAATCCCTTTGTTTGGCGGCGTCCATTTTGTTAAGTAGTAATGAGGGGATAATGCATGTTCTTTTCTGTCACAAACTGCCACATAAAAATATTTACAACGGAACCACAACAAATAGATAGTAACGAGAGTCACTCATTTGAGCTTATCACCCATAATGTTATTCGAGACTTCTCTCACCGAGCAACTGATCCTGTCGCAGTTTTTGAAAATTTAATTGCATACCGCAGGTAAACAGATGATATTATACCGCTATTCGCATCTCAGCTATGACATGCTAGAAACTTATGGCTTACCTGCAAAAGAACCGTCCACTTCTTCGTCTGATGCCATTTAGATCACAATTTAACACAACCTATATGTGGATAAAAATTTTAACTGAAGAAAGGCAAAGGACGCGCAGTTTTTGCGACAAATGGTAATTAATTCAGAAATTGATGCCGCCGTCACTACGATGAACTAGTGTAGCTTAAAATGAAACGGAAGAACGTATAGCTATCCCACTCATTTCACCGATCAGATCCGCAGTTTCTTGCACGCGATGGTTGTAGACATAGACTATATAAGTATATACTATTGAACATACCTGCGCGAAACCCTGCTATATTGAAATTGAAATACTAGATGGCACTATTAATCAATAGCTTTTCTTTCATATATCTGTGCTTACAATTTATTTTAAAACAGAATCTAATAGTCTGTGGACGGCTCAAAACAATTGCTTGGGTAGGTACCTAGATTGTTAATTGTCAAAGTTGCAGTTTACATTACGGAGTAGGATAATCATTGTTTATTGATAAATATTTAACTTTACTACCTACCATTTAATAAATGCTATTTAATTAATATTATATCTACAAAATCTTTTTGTAAAATATGTCAAAACAGTAATCCAGTTCACCAATAATTCACAAGTTTATCGAATAAAAAAGTAATTCATTCAAAATTAAGCAAACAATCAAAGCATGAATGCACTATTGGATTATGGTTCGTCTTCTAATGATACTGACGACTCAGACTCTGGAGATGAGGAAAAGTAAGTGCCATAATGACTACTAAGTATTCCTTTTTACCCTCAACACTTATAATGCGCTGAGGATCATTTAATAAGTATAATTTTTTTCAGATTGACAAAAGATTTAACAGATGCCGTTGATGCCGATAGACCCAAGTTACCAAAACCGACTCTGGGCGAAAGCAGCCTTCAAACTTCGGTTTTTTCTAACCCATTTGCTCAAGCTGAAATAGCGAAAGCAGCAATTCTTGAAAAACATGTGAAAATGGTATATGTTGACAGTCCAATTTAAATATTCTACTAATAAAGTAGACTACATAGTAATTTTATACAGAAATTAATTTATTTTAACTGCTAGTCATAATTTTCTTAAATCTTTGTATAAGATAATATCCAATTTTAAATACAATCGTCAAGTACATAGGCCCTCACTGTTAAGGTTCCAGGTAAAGACAATATGCAGATGATAAATGGAAAGAAGATATGCTGGAATTTTCGTAAGGGGCGCTGCAGATTTGGACACAATTGCAAGTACGCTCATGATTCTGATTTGCAGAAGTCACCAGAAGAATTGGAAGCAGATAAACAGGTACTTGTAATAATGACATGTTTAATAGATTTGTTTTTTTTTATAGGTCATGCCATATACAATATGTCTTGAGGTTTCCTATAGAATTATATTTAAGTTACTGTATGTTGATTTCTCTTTATTTCAGAAATTGAAAACTGTAGTTTGCGAGGGTAGTGGTACAATGACCTGCGCTGTACCTCCACAAATAGAATTGGAAACTGTAAGTCCAACAGATGACATTGTGTGGGAAGGGGGTGTTAGGAAAAAGAAGAAGCGTCCAGGCCTAAGCTCGGGTTTGGTGCCTAGTCAAAAAGTTATAAAAATGTACAAGGAGCAGAAACTAAAGAACACATATAAATAAATGTTTCTGAGTTAATTTAACGTCTTTCTTTTTGCTACCAACTTATGATCTACTATGTAACAATAGTTGAAGGAACATTATAACATTAGGAGTATTTGTTGTAAAAAATAAAAAAAACGAACAATTTAAAACTGTTTTTATTTAAGAAACAATGCTATTTGCAGTGAAACGGGCATGCCGCATCTGTATCCTTCAAAAGGATCACTTACAGGCCCCCCAAAAATTAAGTATAGATAAAATACATTTAATTAGTACATCATGTTCTGTAAATACTAAGCAGTGATAGCTCTCGATGAAAGAATATAAACTACAGCACAGCCATTTCGTGGCATAGTGCCAGTGTATTCCCGTGAATAAATTCTATAGCAGTATTAATAATGCCTACGATTTGCATAATATAATTCTAGTGAGAAACGTAAACTCTCATAATTACAAATTTGTCTAAGATGAGCCATAAAAGACGATACAACATCAAGAACATTGACACAGATATTCTAGTGTTCTTTCCCGCCTAAACTCTCTATCAATCTACTAACTATAAAAGTAACTCACAGTTTAAGTGGTATTGCGATTAAGTACTACATAGACTATGCATTCTAATGAGAAAATACTGTATTTTACAATTATTCAAGCTACTAACCGCTACCCCCTCTTAAAATGTAATTTATCTGATAAAATTTGAAGGCACAAATAAATATTTAAATACATTGAAATGACTAAGCTGTTACAAAAATAATGTATCTTTCGGCATTTACAGCCGTAATGTATTTCATAAGTACATAACATTTTCCTTGAAATTTGAAATACGTTTAAAGTAATTCAAGTGGAATTTCATAAAAGACCTTAAGTCTATTATATAAATACTACTTTAAGTCTATGTTTTTATAGCAACTTTTTTTATCTTTGGTGAGGGCACGTGTATGCCGTTCGTCTTGAGATGCTCCATTTCATTGTCGTGCAGACCATTTGAAATTCCATTGGCGATGGATCCGTGATGACCATTAATTTTATAGTGGCCGTTCATTTTGTTGGCGTTAATTTTTGCATGTCCGTTCATTTTATGTTCAGAGTGTCCCGTAGTTTTGTCATCACATCCGATCATTTTATTGTGTCCGTTTACTTTAGACTCGGGGTGTTGATTTCTTTCGTGTCCGTTTATTTTGTCCCCTTTGTATCTAGCTTGTCCTGTTAATGAGAGCAATATTATAAAAACTAATTAACAATAAAATAATAGACTGGCGTAATTTGGGTTGTATTTTAAAATATATAATTAATTTCGAGAAAAGATTTTATAACGGCACAGGAATAATACGTAACAGAAACATAGAACAGGGGTGCCAACATTTACATATAAGTTTCAAAACAGATTAAAATATGGCTCAGACTTTTAAATAAAAGACTTAATGGTCTGCTTCCTTTTTTTTAAACTACGACTCGACGTTTAAGATGCTTTTTTGCAGTTAAAATGAATCTAAGTGTAGCTGTATGCCACTTGCGCTTAGATTATATACCTAAAGATGTAGTCTTATCTCTTTTGCTCACTGCGGCTGTTACAGAGTAAAACATTACACTCCATCATAATCTTTATATTTAAAGAAAGACTTTGTCTCAAAATGATTGATTTTTTGCTTAAAATACTTTATTATTTGTTAAGTTCTTTCTATTATTTGTCACGATTGAAAAGGGACTAGGGCGACAAAGACAAAGAATGATTACTCTATCCTTGTTCCTCCCGCAGAAATGACTACGCGTCCATCAATTTAGCGTAATATCTATAGGTTTATGATCTAAGATTTTTCGTTTTACTGTTAAGTGTTTTATTTACTGTGTACGACTCGCTTAGAGCCATACTTAATGGCTCGGATGGTTAAATTGTTTGGCACCCCCGGGTACAGTGCATACTGAGGCCCACTACGACAAGACGATGCTAGCGTTACAATCACTACTGTGCACAATTCACTGGTAACACAACACAGAGAAACTAAATCACAAATACTAGCTAGACAATGCCAGGGGCTAGAAGGAAACGCAATTACGCCAGTTTAGTTTCACGTTTACATGCGCTTCGTACATGACCCAATACAATGATAATTAAAACTAATCATTAATAAAAGAACCTTTTTTGCTGACTCTGAATGCATGCAAGAATAAAATACTCTTAACATGGTGATGTTTGATATTTTTCTGATTGGATAAACTGTATAATTATAAGCTTTATACTAATTCATAACATATATCAAGTTACAACCATCCAAGCTGACTGTACTGTTTTCTGGGTTATCGTTATGCCACAATATAGGAGAGTGTGATAAATACTGTTGAATGAAATGTTAATTAAAGGACGATGTTAATTTTAAAAAACGATACAAAAAGACTAAATCAGTGTTGTAAACTTATAGATGGGGGTTCGATTATAGATTCACAGACTAAGTATCTATACAAAATCTTCTTTTTCAATTGTCAATAATATCTGTAAGTAAATTTCGCTTCGCTATCAACAGTATTTACGGGACTCCCCCCTCATAGCAAGGCTGTGAGACAACCTGTATATAAAAAATCTAATGCATATGGGCTGGACTCACCGTTAGCGCCAGACCCGGCGTAGTACCTTTTTGAAGTTTTCCAGTCCTCTTTTAAAGACAGATTGTACATAGAATATGCTGGGTCTCCTGTGACCTCCTTCTCTATTGTCAGGAACTTTGGTAACGTCGCGAGAAGGGCATCCTGATCGTACGCCGC